CCTACCTACTTGACGCTCAATAAATTTTATGGTTATAATCCCGAAATGTTTGTCGAGTCACATTAAAAAAGATTAGGATACAGCAAACGCGTTAAATTTACAAAATATCTTCAACAACGTAAAACAATTAAAACTTAATTTTACCACATAACTTAAAGCAAAGAATTTTAATCATCGTAATCTAAACGATTATATATTCAGTACTTTTTAATTTTTTATAAGTTTTACTAATTTTTTTGAGTGCCATGGCTGTTTATAGGCCACGAAACGAAACGCTGAAACTTAACTTAAGGTAAAGGGTAAAATAACGAATTTATTACTTTTAAAAACTAAACTACTATTTGTAACTAGTCACAAATTTTGAAAAAACATTCTTGCCAAAAATATACCCACCTGGCAACACTTTAGCTACCTGATTTAATTTAAAAACTAATAAAACTAACTTTTTTGAAAATATTATCTTCAATAACTTATTTCTTGAAGCAAATACAAAGACTAATTAAGACGTCAATCTATAGGTACTGGTACTCTCAAACTAAATAAAAGAATAATGGGCTTTAATGAAATCAAACGTGAATCTATATTCATTTGCATACTAAGTAACCAGTACAAGTTGACATCTGTAATAGCTATATTACTGCGCTAACAAGGCTCAAGGTCATTATAATATATCATAATATAATATTGAACAATATGTGCCGATATTATTACTCTGTCACATTTATGTAATCGCACTCTACTTATGCGTGTTACTAACTATGTCATACATAAAGGTACCGTTACACATTCTCTAAATAACATGCTAAAAGGCGTTATATTGAGTACTTAGCTGTGCCCGCAACTAGTCACTTTGGATAGTTCTTCACGGCTCCCTCGTGGGTAATAGCGTGATATTATGCAGCCTATATGTTGACCCAGACTCTAAGCAATATTCATGCAAAATTTGAAGTAAATCCATCCAGTACTTGTTGAGTTTAGCCCGGTAATACAAACAGACAAACAGACAAAAATTTTAAAAACTATATTTTTAGTATCGATATCGATTGCAAATTAAGATACAAATTCAAAGTACAGTTTTGACTTTCCCACCATTTTATTATATGTATAGATGCTCAAAAGTGTTCAAAAGTCGAATGCCTGTCGATCGCAAACATGCCTGAAATGAGCGTGCTAATTTTTACCATCCCGACACATGCTACTAAGTGATCAGTGCTCAATAGGGTAGATGCCTAATTTTTATTAATGTCCGTCTGGTAGATTATTTTAAATCATTAGACACATATTTTTTATTTTCTTACACAAACGAATACTTTCGACGATATATTGATTGGAATGTCGCGTGACGTCACTTCTATGTACATTTTATACGTAGAAATGACGTTTTAGCCCCCACTCCTATGCTTTGATTCGTTTTATCTAAGTATTGTTTTATTGTACGACAAAATAAAAAAAAAACGTGTCTAATATTTTTTCATTACCTACCTAACTGACGGACTAATTAGATTTTTAATTTTCATACGCTGTCATGATCCCAATTGAAGTAACTATACCAAAGCATGAAAATGCTTGAAATTAGAATGTGTAACAGTATCAACAGTTGTTTGTAGAACTAACAAGAGCTAGGAATGTTTTTGTAAGAATTTCCTTGTTAATAAGCTATTCACAATTCTTAATAGACAGTGAATACAGCGTACCTGATTTCTCTTTCAATTTAAACCACGATAAGACTTGACGTGGGTATCAGCAGGAACTAATTGTAATAATTATGAATTGTATTGTTTATTGCAAACTATAGGACTAGGTTTGGCGACTCCCACAATATAATGTAAGTTTATTTACGAGAAATTGGTTATTTAAATGAGGAAGCAGGTATCTTAGCTAAATTCATTCCTAGCAATTTTAGATACTACTATCTAGCAGAATACTAACATTTACTTATAAATTACACTTGGCTAAGTGCTTATCTTTGGCAGTACTTTATAACGAAGGTGGCTTGAACATTTTGTCGCCAAATTAAATCTTCTGATACTAAATTAATTTTCTACGATTTACTTACTTAACCGTTCAACGAGGTATCTCGACTAATTTCAAGCCATTTCGGGGGCCCTTAGTCAGCTCATGAGCAGCTTGTTAGCACGAGTTGACTGCGCGACGCAGATCACGTCGGTAGTCGCACATACTGATCATGATTTCATGAATATGAGATCCTAGTGTGGTTTTGAACTAATCGAGTTACCTGATCGAGCAGTTACGATAAGCAAGGGTTAAAGCAAAAGTTTAACAAAATTTCTTGAATATTCTACAATCTTATTGTATTTGTTTATTTGATGCATTATTTTAATTTAGCGACGAACTGTTAATTCCACCCTGTATAACTAAGTCATTGTACTAACAATATTTTGTGTTCATTCAACATACGTACCTATTAATTCGTAGTACCATATTATTTTACTTGATATTCAAATATAATACCTATGTAGTTAGCCTGTAGTTATAGTTTGCATTGTAGAATTTTTATAGTTACATGGACTGAAACTAGATGGCAGAGGCTACGAAACGTCAAACTACTTCAATCTGTTATTGTTTTCAATGGATTTTCGACCCTATTATAAAATGTAACTGTCACAATTTCCTTTGATTTGTCAGTCCAAGTAACTATAAGTAATGTAGAAAATTAGTTTGTAGTTTAGTTTGCATGCACGCATGTAATTGTGTTGTCCTTGCACGATATTTTATTAAATATTTCATGACTATAATGCTTTTCTTTTATTTTTTAAGCCCTCTTGTCCAATGAGATTCTCCAATGTTACGACAATTAAAAATTATTCTATTAACACGTTCGGTGCCACCGACTCAACTATAAACTGGGTCTGCACACCCGGCCCACCACGTAATTCTTTAGATTAGGGTATATTTAGTCTTCAGTATCATTTTAACCAGAAAATACACATGTATTTTGGAAAAAAATAGCAAACACATTGAACTCGACGGGCGAGTCTACGGCGCTGGAATATTTACGTGGACTCTCCGGGCGAGTCGGTGGCACCGAACGTGTTAAAAATAAGTGACGCTACTTGTACTAGGTGTGTGTACCCTCAGGCCTCAGCCCATGACTTCGTGACAATCCACTGCTGGAAGGCCTCACCTTCATAAGACGGTTTACGATTAATCTCTCCACTTGGCAAATAAGTTAGAGATTGAGTGCAATCTCTAAGGCAAGTACCCGAATAATGTAGTGATATTATTTGGGTACTTGCCAACTACTTACTCAAATTCAATACCTTTTTCGAACTGTCAAAAAGGACAGTTTTCTATTAATTTTGTACGAGATTGTGTATTGTGACGTCACGTTTTTAAACGTCAAACACCATACTTATTTCTTAAAAAATTACTGGAATAAATACTAAAATTAATTTGGTAATAAAATCAATTAATGAATGTGTGATTATTTTTCCATATTTTTTTTTTGTATTGAACAGTCGAAATAATTTATTTTGGATTAAGGAAAGTACCCAATCTTTATATATATAATTCTTCTGTGAGTGTTTATGTCACTGAACTTCTCTCAAACGACTAGACGATTTTGATGAATTTTTTTGTGTGTTCAAGGGGATCTGAGAATGGTTTAGATTCACAAATCAGCCCGGCAGATGGCGCTGCAGTCGATGTTTAGGTTATTTAAACAGCTGAACTACTTTGAATGATTTTTTGTTTATACATTCAAGTGGAGATGTTGGACAACGTCTGTTGGGTCCGCTAGGTATTTATATAATTTAGATACTTTCTAATTTAGATGTAGACGTACATTCATTTATATCAAAAAGAAGATCATTACCAAAACACGGAACTTGTCAATAAGCCAATAAAGAAATGACGCAACAGAACAACAACCTTTGGCGTTGACAATAGGATTCAAAATCGTGCCAACACTGAGATATAATCTTGGCAACAATATAAATTGATTACAGACAAATTGACGCCTAACAAATATACATAAGTAATGACGTCACATCTGTCTGTTACGCCGTGTATTGACGGCAGAAAAAAATATATAATTGTCACCAGTTAACAACCCCGACTCTTCCCGCGGGTATCATATACCCGACTAGATGTTATCGCACACCTAACAAACACGGCTCCGGCACATCTACAACCCAGCAATGTATTTGTCATTTAAATATGAACTTTAAATCGTGTTTCGTATGACATATTTCATAATGCCAATACAAAGCTGTAAGCGCGCCGTCGGCACACTAACAACCTTTTTGTATAGTTTCTAAAGAAAAAAACGCCGTGCCGGAGTCATGATTAAGCCGTGCTCGTTAGGTGTGCTCTGAGCTTCAGGGTCTACTAGACATATACATATAATGTTAAACTGCAATCTCCAAAAACGTTACCAAGCGTGGTGATTACAGCAAGTTATCAATCGTGGTGATTACAGCAAGTTATCAATCGTGGTGATTACAGCAAGTTATCAAGGGTGGTGATTATAGCAAATAACCAAGCGTGGTGATTACAGCAAGTTACCAAGCCTGGTGATTACAGCAAGTTACCAAGCCTAATGATTACAGCAAGTCACCAAGCCTGGTGATTACAGCAAGTTACCAAGCCTGGTGATTACAGCAAGTTACCAAGTGTGGTGATTACAGCAAGTTACCAAGCGTGGTGATTACATCAAGTTACCAAGCGTGGTGATTACAGCAAGATACCAAGAGTGGTGATTACAGCAAACCTCTACCTTATATGAAACATAAAACTCATCAGTAAGTTGTAACAGACTCTTGATGATAAACACGCGATATTAAACAGGCAAGCAGATGTTTTCATATTTACTTCGTTAATGAGAATTTTGGAAACTGAAAAATCTAATAACGGTTTACCGAATTTACAAACCACTTCATGGTTAAACATGGAGACCTCATTATTCATTCAAATATCATTCATTACTGAATATTTTACCTATAAGATAGAAAACCCAAATATTAGGCATCTACCCTATTTCAAAAATACGATAAAAAATGAAACCAAAAAACTAAATTAAATTATTTTATTTCCATTTTACTCAACCATATTCAACAGTTTCTCCATACTGATAGGGCTAAAGATCCTCCCGTTATCATCGGAAAACATGATAACATTACGTATGACGTAGCACTGGAGCTCACCGATCTTATATATAGGTCTCCCTTCCCTAGTTTTACCAGCTATAGGGACGAAAGTTATCCCTTTTTCTATACATCTTGTTTCTAATAACTCTGAGAAACTCTTTGTGGGGGCACTTGAAGCAATAACGTCGGCTATTCTCGAAGTTTCCTTAGGTTCTGGCATCGTGAACCGAGGTGGAGGTGGTGGTTCCACGGCGTCGATGTCTGCGCTCCTATTCATCATGTCTAAAGCCTTTCTGAACGCGTCCCGCACCGCTGGTTCCTTCAAGACTTCTTCAGGAAACATTTTCTGTTGGATTGGAAATATATTGGTTTTGAGTTTCGTTGTTGTTTTATTTTATGAATATCTATGTAAAGAAAAAGGTTTTTTTAATTTTTTAATTGATTACTTTGTCAAATAATCTTTGGTTTTTTCTAATTTTTAAACGTCAATATATGACTTTTGCGTTAAAGAATTTATGGAAGAACAAAACATTAAATGTCGTCTCTTAATTTTACAAAGCAACACATTAGTTTTATTTCATTCTAAATTATAAGATTTAGTCTTATAAATATTATAATTAAAAACATAGAGACATTAAATTAGGTATGTTGTTTGGATGATTCATGTATTTGACGTCACTTGACTAATTTCGAGCTATCTCAGGGGTCATAGGCAGTTGATTGCATAACGATTGCTGCATCGTTTGTCGTACAATAACGCTCAGAAATATAAGCTATCTGGCCTTATTTGTACAGTTAGAATAATAAAAGTTAAATCCGTAATCCTCTCCCCCTTCTTTCTATCCCCAAATCCTCAAATTTCCTTAGCCCCCAAAAAGAGAACGTACTAAAAACTCCTTAGCATGCTCGTTTGAACCTTAATCTCCAATAAAATACAAACAAATGACCTTGAAGTCAGTGTAGGAGGCGAGTACAGTGGCGTGCGGCGGGTTGGTGTTGAGCCAGGCGGCGAGCGCGGCCAGCCAGCGCGGCAGCAGCGCGCGCGCCGCGAGGGCCGCCACCGTCGGCGCGCCCACCAGCTCCATCCACTCCACGCACCACAGCCACGCCGCTGGACATACAATACATACTTTTGTGAAGTGGTGAATTGAATAGTTATAACTATATAGTATACTAACTATATAGTAAACTTAACTGCTTCACAACTCACCACTTCACAAAAGCAAAATGAAAAAATCGGCACGTTATCCTTTTTTTTATAACCTAACCTAACCAACCGTGCAGTCAAAACCGAATGGCGACGGCACAACGGAGTCGGGTCTGTAGTAGGGGAGCCCATGAAGGGATTTCGGTAGTTACTCGAGCGCGTCAGATTAACATATGGGGAAAACCTAGTGTCATGATGAATATACCCACCATATATCCGATCTGATTAGAAGGGGGGGACTAAAAATTAAAAAGGGGTCTGACTAAATAAAGTCAGTTTCGTCAGATTAAGGGAAGGTAGGTTAATACCATGCTAAAGGAAGAGCGTTTAAAAAATCTGCCCATTCCAACTTGATTTGCAAGAGAGGGGGGACTTTGAAGGGTTCTCGTTTGTACTCTCCAGAACATTCAACCCCACCATGCAAACTGGTAGATTAAGAGATTTTTATTATTAAATACACATGGAGTATGTACACTATCAATATCTGACACGCTCGACCACTAGAACAAAAGTTACGCTTAACCATTTTAAAGATCTGTGGATTCCCCCTCCCCCCACCGGTGGAAGAAATTGTCACTAAACCATTTCTTATTTCTATCAGCATATCTTCAAAATCCAGTAGGTCCCAACGACGCTCAAGTAAATCCAAATTTAGCATCGTGGGCTCCCCTACTACTAGGTGTCATTGTGTTTTTGAAATTGAATGTTTGTAAACGCACCCACGACACAGGAGAAAATCCTAGTGGGGCAACGTTTAAAAAAAATGATATGCGCCAGACAGATTAGTAAAGTTTTTTCAAAAAAACATTAATAATTTTTCCTCTAAAAATAAAATTACTAGACTAACTTAATATAAAAGGGCAACCAAAGTTGTGATTGATTTGGCCGAATTAAACTACAATTTCAGCTGACTCGAACCACGAGTTCAATAATAAATACAAAAATACGTACTGTTCTCCCTCCCAACAAGTTCGAGCGGTGCGTGAGTGAGGCAGTGGTCCAGCTTGGGCACGATGTGCTGGTGCAGCATGTTGGTGAGGGCGGGCCCCCAGGCGCGCGTCCAGGCCTGCAGCAGGCCGCGCGCGGACCCGTCCGCCGGGTGCCAGCCCGCCAGCGCGCTCGCCAGCCGGGACCGGATCAGCGGGTACACCGACGTCGCCAGGGCCTCGCCTACACACAGAGTACAGTCATGATCAATAAGTGTGCTGCTTGTACAAACAAAATAGTTATTCATTCCAATTTATAGATAAGAAATAAAGACAACAAATTAAGCTGTTGACAACCAAAATACAAGTCAAAGTTTACCTTACAGGGAACAAGGAACTCATGAAGATTGCAAAATTTTACTATGACGGTTACTATTACTAGATTTCATAAAATCTGTTTTCACACTTAGTGAATACAGTATTTAGGCACCTCAATGAACTCATTTATCAACAAATATTTTTTGCAAAAGGAAAAGGATCAATAAATAATTACAATACGGGTGCACGACTGGTTTCACAGGCCTTAACCACTTTTGGATGGACTATCTGTCAGATCAATTTATCAAATTATCTATGAAATAGCTAACAATCAATAAGATTGCAGTAATGCAAATTGCAATAATGCTGTTAATCATATAAAATTACACTTAATAACTATAAATAGTCTCTCCTTCAATACATACCAGCCAAGTCATGCCACGGCAGCACCCATTGGTGCAGCGGTTGAGTATCATGCGTGGGATCCCACGCCCGCACGGCGGCTAGCAGGCGTGGTACCACGACGCGTGATACACACGCGCGTGTCACCCAGGCGGGGCTGGCGTTCTGCCACGCTTGTACCGCGCGGAGCATTGGAGTAGGGGTGCGGGGGTTCCATGATCTGATGGAGTATAAAGTCAAAGTTATGGATGCTTTTTAAAAAAAATACATTTTACACCTCTAAGTTACAAAGTTATAATGGTTTAAATCATTAAATCGCGTGTTCCTCATGTGATTATACCTAGAAAAGCTTCAACAGTTTCGAGCCACAGAGAAGCTCTTCCTCATGAGCAGCGTGCGCGGGCGCGGCGATGTCGCGCAGCCTACTTTTCTTCTCAGTATATTCACTATGTTATCCGCGATTTTTTGTTAATTTAGTATGTCTCATGATAGTTGTTGTGTATCTTTGTGAATTGTAAACATAAATTAGAAATAACATCACATAACATAACATCACGCCTTTTTATCCCCGAAGAGGTAGGCAGAGGTGCACATTACGGCACTTAATGCCACTGTACAATGTAACACCCACTTTTCACTATTTATGTAATGAGTCCCATGTAATAGGGGGTGAGCCTATTGCCATATACCGGGCACCATTCCAGACTCCGTGCTACTACTGAGATTTGTTAAAAACTCAGTAATATTTTGTCCGCCCCAGGAATCGATTCCGAGACCCCTTGTCCGGCAGTCGCACTCGCGACCACTCGGCTACCGAGACAGGCAAATTAAAAATAAATTCATAAAACGTAAATATAAACTCACTCGGCAGCCGTAGTAAGTTGCGGCACGAAGTGTTGCCAGAGCAAGCTGTTGTAGGCCTCCTCGGTGAGTAAGTTCCTCCACTTCAGGAAGGTCGGGATGTGCTCGTCGGGCGCCTGCAGCGGCTCCCAGGGGGCCAGCAGGGAGCTCAGCAGTGGACTCACTATGTTACCCGCTATAGTACCCAGCCCAAACATGTCGTATTCTACTGGGTATGTTTCCTGGGAAAAAGGGATTTTGTTTAGTTTTAAGATATCTAAGATTTTAAGTGACGCTTTGGTTGTGTGTTCTATGTATTTTCGTAAGACCGTATTAAACTGTCAAACACCAAGCGGTCACCGGTGACCGCGACCTATTGTTCTTTAATTGTGTCTATAAAACCGGTACTCGACGAGTTAATGACTTTGGTATGTGACAAGGTAATAGTAATGGGTAAGATTGCAAAGTATTGGGCAACTGTTAGTAAAGACGGCTTTTAACGAATTTATTTTACGTTAAAAGTAATCGAAACTAAACCGCGTTTAGCGTTCAGCAGCTGTAACCAAATACCATGTAGCGCTTGTCTACTTGTAGAGTAGAAAACTAAATTATATGGAATTGACGTAAATTTTGACACTTGTCGGTATCATCCCCATACATTTAGTTTTCTACTCTCTCGGTAAACAAGCGCTAAAGTGGCGTTTGGATAAAGGCACTGATTGGCCGGATCAAAAAAAACTAACCAAGCCAATGAACCAACTAATTAGAATGGTAAACATACGTCTGAATTCCGAAAGGCTACTCAATTTGAAGTTGTACTTAAATATCGTGCCATCTCTTTCATTTTACAAAGAAATTGTAGAGACAGAACTATACTTAAGCGCGACTTAAAAGTGTTCGAGTATTCGGGGAATAGTCTCGTTTCGACAACTTTAAATGTAAAACAATGTCGTACTAAGATCTCAGATTTCACATCAAACTAGAATAGGGTAGATGACTAATTTGTATTTTAATGTCCGTCTGGTAGATCAATTAAAAACATTATACACGTATTTTTTATTTTCTTACGGAAACGAATAGTTTTGACGATATATTGATTTGAAATGTCGCGTGACGTCACTTCTATGTACATTTTATACGTAGAAATGACGTTTTAGCCCCCACTCCTAAACTTTGATTCGTTATATCTAAGTATGATTTTATTATACAACAAAATAAAAAAATACGTGTATAATAATGTTTTCATTACCTAACTGACGGACTAATTACATTTTTAATTGTCATACCCTATCATCATCCCTATTCCAACGTGTTCAATTTAAAGTTGAAAATCGTTTAAAGTTTAACTTTTGAGTATTTATGGCCGAAATTAATAAAAGACTTTTAAACATTCGTTCTATGTAGTGTCTGCTAAGAAATTAACTCGATCAATAGATTCTGGATTAAGATTGATTGTTTAATTTCTGCCGTTGAACGTTATAAACAAACCTTCAAGTCAGCCAGAACATCATGAGCCCTCTCTAACGACACATCAGGTTTGTTCAGCATCTCGACTCGTTGCAGTATCCCTTGCACCTTGTTGATGACTTTGTCCTGTTCCTGCAGCTTAGTGTTGCAGTCCTCCAGGTCTCTCTCCAGAACTACTATCTCGTCTTCAGCCGCTTGCAACTCGCGAGCGTTTTGAATTATGTCCTGTGGAATTGAAGGAGATTGTTTTTAGATGTTTTTTTTTGTAATTAAGGACAGCTGCTTTTCAAATATACAAATCAGCCCGGCAGATGGCGTGCGACTGCAGCGCCATCTGCCTAGGTTTTTTATCTATACCTATTATTATATTATATGCAGGACAACGTCTGTCGGGTCCGCTAGTATCAATATATATCATAGTTTCCGTGAAAAGAGGAAAGATGCATCACAACTGCATTGCATTCTACTCTATGATGAAGTAAAAATATTTGAAAACTGTCGAGGACCTGTTCGCAGCAGTCCACCATGAGCATGAGGTTGTGCGCGAGTTGTGGCGCGGCGAAGTAGTGGCAGTGGCGGCGCGGCTCGTGCTCGAAGCGCGGCGCGGCGGCGCGCAGCGCGTGGTACCCGCTCAGCACGCGCTTCTCCTTGCCCGTCATGTCGATCACGGGCACGCGGGACAACTCGTTGCTGTGGGACAATACGGTAGTTGACAACTAGTCAAATTCAATACTTTTATCGAAACGTCAAAAACGATACTGTTCTATGAATTTTGTACGAAATACTAGCTTATGACGTCATCATATTTTCGCGTCAAATAGCACACTTATATCTGAAGAAAATGCAAGAATAAATCGAAAATTAAGTATATCGGCAAATCAATGAATGAAAGTGTAACTATTTTTCAATATTTAATTGGATTGAAAAATCAAAATAATTTATTTTTGACCCAGGAAACTACCCAATTCGTTCATGTTATAACACACTATGCAATGGCACTACAGCAATGGCGCAGTGGCTATTACTGGATGCTGCATAGCGTGTTGCGAATTCATTCGGAGGCCTAGTTATTCCCCTCTCCAATCCCCGAATCCTCAAATAAATCCCCAAATGGCCGGTAACGCACTTGTCCGGTCCATGGGCGGCGGCTTGCTTACCATCAGGTGATTCGTCTGCTCGTTTACTGAATAAAAAAGAACAAGTCTGTGTGATCCCCAAATTATTGCTTCGAGTCTTCTATTGGGTGTTTCATATATGTGAGTATTATGGATGCTATAGCTATAGCTATGATTATAAATACACTCACAAAATAAAATAAAAAATCTTAGTGTTAAACATACCATATTGAACTCTAGGAGCGTTTTTTTGCTCACCTCCTTACTCATTACGAGTGATACATCATGGAGAACTATGTATATTTTAAAGAATCTGATTGAGCGACAAAGGTTACATTCTCCCATCGTATCTACGTTGATAGAAAGCTATTGAGGACCCAAAACTGTGCGCTCCATTGACCTCGAGCCTCCAGACCGCTAAACTACAAAACTTTATTCAACGACAATCGTCTAATTCTAAATACCTGGTAACAGTATGCATCGAAGGTTTACCCTCTTGTATAACATCTGCCGCGTCCCGGTAGAAGTAGCGTCCCTTGTGCGACTTCTTCCAGTTGTAATTCTTCTCCTTCGGACCTTTTTCATCTTCTTTCTCCTTCTGCCGACGAAGCTCTTCTTCCTTTTTGGCTTTTTGCTACAAAAGATATTGTAATTACATTACATAACATAACATAACATCACGCCTTTAATCCCCGAAGGGGTAGGCAGAAGTGCACACAGAAGTGACGCCCACTTATCACTATTTATGTTATGGGTCCCATGTAATAGGGGGTGAGCCTATTGCCATATACCGGACACATTTCCAGACTCCGAGCTACTACTGAGATTTTTTTTAAAACCCAGTAATACTTTGTCCATCCCGGGAATCGGACCCGAGACCCCTTGCCCGGCAGTTGCACTTGCGACCACTCGGCCAACGAGGCAGTTACCTATTTATCTACTTGACATATACTTTGTGTGAAATATTGTAATTAGTATATGATTTAGTGTTAAGCCTAAATTAGGATTTTTGGGATACAAATAAAAATGAATGACCTAGTTATAAAGTAATAGCCTTTTGTAACTTGGACTTTTTCCTGTTTTACAAAGTGTTTAAAAACATTTACTCCATGTGAGAATCAAATCCGCGACACGTTGCGCAACGTTCGCATTCTTTAATTGATTGAATTTCAAGAATTGGGTAGCACAATACAATTTTCCTTTGTTATAAATCTGGTAAGGAAATGAATTATCCTTACCGCAGCTTTCTCAGGTCCATAAGCACCAATAGCTCCCCTTCCTCTTCTCACCGTAGCCTCCACGGGAGCGGAGATACCCTGTAGGTCTTTACCCAACCCCATGCCAGGTTGGTAACCCATCTGGAAACAATACATGGTTGATCATTATCGTCGAAAGTATTTAATTTTGTGAGCAAAGACAAAATACGTGTGTAATGTTTTAAATTAATATACCAGACGGACATTAAAATAAAATTTAGATAACTACCCTATTAGACAATAGTAATTTTGCCAAACATGTTAGGTTGAACATTTTGAAATTGTTATAGTATAAAAGTCACTGTAACATGAAAGATACCTATTTGATATTTATTATTATAGAGCAAGAACTACTGACCTTCAACAACAGCTTAGCTCCTATACCTTTAGTATGCTTCTCCCAAGTGCCGACATTGCCTCCTAGGTTCGCTGGTCGCATGCCCTGTCCCTGTCTCCGTATACCAGCAGTTTCACTAGCATCAGGTGCGCTTTGTTCTTCTTCATCCGAGCTGTCAGCAAACTTTGGCCTTGAAGTGGACGCTTCTGATGATTCTATCTCTGTAAAAGGGATTACATTTACAGTTATTTTTTTAATATTTGATGGGCTGACGTTTGGCCACTATCTCGCCTAGTGGTAAGTGATGATATGGTTTACAATGGAGCATGTCAACCCATAAGCAACCTATTCACTCGGGCCTTGAAGACATCCAGGATTTTTTTTTTTCAATTCATATAGGAGGTACATACATAGAATTTAAAAATGTTTTTCATTCGTCTTTGATGAATTTCATTCAGTCAATGCTGGCGAATGCAGTTAACAAAAAAGGACCATTAAACTGTCAAACACCGCGAGGACACCGGTGATGGCAATCTATAGTCCTTTAATTGTGTCTATAATGACGGTACTCAAAGGGTTAAAGTGAAGTGAGCCTGTACATAAAATGCCATCAGTCCTTTACATATTATGGACTTGTTTTCTTATATATTTTAACTCCTTTGTTCATACAAAAATAGTCTCTAACTACTATGAATAAGGTCTATAATGGAGTGAATGGAGAGATAACACCGGTGTTTTCTCAGGGATTTAGAATAAGTAAGTAATCAAATAGATGTAATGTGTACTTGTCTCCTTATTATTAATTCTTTGGTAATGAGGATATTCTCAGCAGAAGCACGGAATCTGGAATTGTGCCCGGTATATGGCAATAGGCATACCCCCTATTACATGGGACTCGTAACATAAATAGTGAAAAGTGGGGGTTACATTGTACAGTGGCACTAAGTGCTGTAATGCCTGCACTTCACTTGCACTTCTGCCTTCGGGAATAAAAAGGTGTGATGTTATGTGTGGTAATAAGAACAAACCTTTAGACTCTTCTTTCTTCTTGCCAGCTTGTTGCACTCCTCCAGCCACAAATCCGATGGGTGCACTGAAATCCTTGGGCTTACGAGATCTCTGTCTGATATTATCTTCATTGTCGTCCTCATCACTGTCTTTAGCCCACACTCCTGTAGACGAAAAAGTGTTGCGAAGTAAGTAGAGTTTCTCGGATCACTCTAATAGGGTAGATACTAATTTAATTTTAATCTCCGTCTGGTAGACTATTTTAAAACATTACATACACATTTTTTTTTTGTTTACAGAAATTAATACTTTCGATGACATATTGATTTAAAATGTCTCGAGATGTCACTTCTATGTACATTTTATACGTAGAAATGACGTTTTAGCCCCCACTCCTAAACTTTGATTCGTTTTAGCTAAGTATCATTTTAATGTACGACAAAACAAAAAAAAAGTGTCTAATATTTTTTCATTACCTAACTAACGGACTAATTAGATTTTTAATTTCCATACCCTGTTATCATCCCTATTTTAGTAAATAGGTGGCTAGTTACTTGGTATGATAGTAAAAGAAACAGTATTTCATAGCCACCATCATATCGATACCTTTGGGTAGAAAGGTCGTATAAACCATTTTGGCCAAATTGAGTTATATATACCATTTTTCTCAGAATTTTTTTCTCTATCGATCTGTATATACGACATGCCGAAATTCGCACAAAAATGGTTAATACGACCCAGAAATTTTCGGTCATGGCCTCTTAAAAAAAGGAAATTTTCAATGTAAGAGCCAAATGTTTTTCTTTTGTAGTTTTATTGTGATGTAATGACCATAATTTATATTAACTCAGGGCGTAAAATATTCGTCAATTGTAAATGGTTTATACACCCTTACGTGTTAAATGCATTACCTAAACATAATTTAAATTATACTTAGTAAGTAAGCCTTAGTACAAAGGCTTAATTCAATAGTTTATTGAATTATGTACATTTAAATTATGTACAAAAAATGATCCAGTCATAATTCTACAAACGATTAAATGCCTTATTACATCAATATCGAAGAAGTTTGAATAATTTAGTTTTTTTTGTGACTAAGTAATTTTTTGTTAATGTCACTTTTAAGTTGTTATAATTATTTTTCAATTTAAAAATTTTATGTTGATTAGAAGGTGTTATAATACTTAATAAATGTTGATTTCGTATTTCAGGTAGTTTTATTTTATTTTTAAATCGACCAATTGGGTAGTTTCCTCAGTCAAAAATAAATTATTTCGACTTTTCCGTACAATAAAATATTCGAAAATAATCATACTTTCAGTCATATTTAACGATATACTTAATTTTCGAATTTATCAGCTAATTTTTTGAAATAAGTATACTATTTGACGCAAAAATATTATGACGTCATATGTTGCGATCTCCATACAAAATTCATAGAAAAGTATCGTTTTTGACATTTCGATAAAAGTATTGAATTTGACTAGTTGGAAACTACCGGATTATTGAGTATTTTTATTTATTAATTGAGTTCCTACTAACTCTGAGAGTAACAAGATTGTTATTAGTCAGAATTTAATTGAACAATGAATATAAATGGTTTTTAATACAAATAAAACTACATATGTTGGTTTTTACGACAATAAATGTGACCACAAGCTTATCGTAAATGGATATACGACCTATACAGTTTTTTTAAATTACATTTTCATGGGGTGTATTAACCATGAATTGGTTTTTACAGAGACGTAAATCCAAGCTAACTTTAAAACTAAAGAAGATAGATAGGTTTTGATGATTTAAACGGTTTCATTTGCAAATTGTAAGAACTTTTCTCATAGATTATTTTTTTATAACTTTAAAAACAAAAAAGATATGAATTTTATTGTCAAAAAAAAAATCGTTTTTTTGCTCTCCTGAAAAGTCGGGTTTTGGTTTATACGACTTTTCTACCCAAAGGTATCGATATAATCTTGTCACAATCCAACTTGTATTTATACCAACATAATTATTAGCAAATCAATTATTTTTCTCTTTGAAGTTACCCTGTTCATAAATTGCACGAATGAAGACATTGTTACTAGATTATCTTAACTTTACGAAGCTAATAATACAAACATAGCTAACTAGTTGTTATTGTTTTGGAGGCTATGTATAACTACAACATGATTGGTTTTAGGAAATTTTTTACTCAATCAGTTGATATCCATGTGTATGTTAGTTTGTATATTAAAAATTTAAACGACTTACCATATATTTGATGTTCTTTCTTGGCTCTTCTGTTTCTATTTGGATTAAATTCATTATCCAAATCATAGTCGGTAATTTCAAATCGCATTACCTCGTCGTCCGACATTGTATTGCTTTCAAAATATCAGCATTAATAATATCACTATGATGTCACATAATCTAGCCGAAATTAGTTTTAATTTCAGCTTTTTCCCCTAAAAATCTAATTAATAAAAACAAGAAACTCCAATCATTCACAACAAATAATGTCATTTAATTTGACATTGGTTTTAAGTTTGACATGTGGTCATAGAGATAGGGTTTCCATACTGTGAAAATCAACTCGACTAAAACTTCCACATTGTTTTAATTTATCGACTAAAGAAATCTAAACGCAACTATTAGTTTTTTTGTGAAAATATTATTATTTATATAGCGCGATTCACTAAAATCCTGTAATAAGTTGAAGTACAACTATAAGGCTTAACCTAGAAATTAGCCCCGAAACTTTGTTAAATAGTCGCGCTTGCGGTCTCTTGAAGAAGTATGAGTAGAGAAAACACGTGACCAACGAGGCATTCGTTACAAGTCACCAATCACTAAGAGTTAGTTAGCGTTTGTAAATAAAAGAGGTGGCTCTTGCATCGATTTCAATTGCATTTTTTTTTGTGGTATATGCCGGTAATCGAGCGTCTGCTCACCTGATGGTAAGCAATCGGCGTCACCCATGGACACCTGGAACACCAGAGGCGTTGCGAGTGCGTTACCGGCGTTTTGGAATTTGAGGATTTTTGGGTATTCAGAGATTGGGGAAGGGTGGGGCTAGGGGGTGTATTAGGGCCTCCGGTAACCTAACTCACACGACGAAACACAACACAAGCGTTGTTTCACATCAGTCCTGTTAGGCCGTGATATCACTCGGGTCGAGCCGACCCATTCGTGTCGAAGCATGGCTCTCCCACACACATTTTGTATATTTTATCGTCATTTTTTAACTGATTTTATTATTAGGCAAAAACCTATTGAAAATGCGCGTGCTCAAGGCGAAATGGTGATATCAGAAATTAAAGTTCAGATTCTATACGAATAAAAATCAACGTATGTTATTCACATTTCTTTATTAAAATTCATCAATAATTTTAAGTATGTAAAACTCACGTAACATAACACTTCATACACGTTTTGTGCATATTACTGCATTTACTTTGAGGTTCGGAAAATGTAACGATATCCAATCAAATGGCAAGTCAGGAACAGATTAAAAAACTGGCAAGGTTAATACAATAAAATTGACCTAATAAAATACGTTTTATTTCACCTGCATAGTGTATTTTATATTAATTATAAAATGAATAAAATATTATATAAAGGTTTGAACACCAATGAAAGATATCGCAGTTACAAAAACCGCTAAAGGCTCGATGTTTTCCGAAAAAAGTAGAATTCATGCAATTTAGTCTTACGATATGATCACAGTAAATGTTTCTCGTTTAATTTCGTCTTCGCTTTAAACATTCAAACACGTTATTGTAAAATTTTGCGCGAATAAAATTTTGGATATAGAATATAAATAGATAAATATTTAATTAAAATATTTTCATCCTTAGGACGGACACGGACGATTCGCAAATATTATTAAATAGGACGAAATTAAAGGCAGTCTACATTTGATTTATTGCACATTTGAGAACTGTCATTAGAACGGTCGCAGTCACCTCAAATGTAGAACCACCTTAACATTTTGAGCGATATAGGTACTATAAAAATTATAAAAAAAATGTATGAAGAGTCCAAACAATAAACAAATTAAAACCATAAAAATAATAATCGTTTCACGAAAATAACTAATTATTACATAATAATTATTTTTCAATAAAAAACACGTCAATGTTAGTAAAACAATATTAAAATAATAATTAATTTCCAAATAAAATATAACATCAGAAAAGTTAGTATTAAAATTGGTTTATAGGCACTGTTCACAATCCCAACTTTTCAACTAATATTATGAAAAACTAAAGAAATATTTTTGATATTTTGCATTGACATAAAAGTTGATATTAAATCTATACAATTGCTATTGCTTTTAAACGACTATTTATTATGTTTTTCGGCTCACTCACGTAACTATTCCACGAGAAACTCGACTCAGTTTTTAAACAATGCCTATAAACAGAATATAATTAGATACTACTCGAAAACATAGATCAAGACCATAAAAATAAAAAAAAATCACACAGACAAAAGAATCCATTTCATTTTCACAATAAATATTCAGGAAATTTTTTATTTAATTTTTGTTTGAACATTACAAAAATCACAGTTCAAAATTACGTTGATGGCAATCCAGTTTATACGTTTAAAAAATAATTGCAACTAAATTATTCTAGTAAAGTTAGGTACTTAGTTTAAGTATGTGATGCTTGCTACAACTAAATAAAGTGTACACGCGGTACAATCTAAAATACATAATTGATTTTTGTTCGTAAAAACTCGCCTAAGACATTTGAAACACGAACATTAACGATTTTAGTCGAATATTGTAAAGACGCGATCGATTCTCTCGCGGTTAAAAGCTCGTCTAGTTACGGGAAGAATATTTTTAGTACTTTGTAAGATTTTTGTTAAAAAATTGTTGATAGATTTTATTTAACTACACTATAATTAATATATTAAATACTGCTTGTTATTGACGTCTAAAATAACATTAATGTTTGTAGAAAAAATCGTTAACGTTCAAATGTCGTCACTTATCCATAAAATCCGATCCTTACTTTAATATTTACATTACGTTGTAAATTCCTGCTATACGTAAAAGGCAACTCTCAACACCTAGAAATCACATGTTTCAAAAACACTTGGACTGTTGTGATAGCTTCCCACATACATTTAAAAATTAGTCGATTATGAAAAGTAGTGAACACCAATCGTAAAATCGACTAAAGAATCGATAGTTGCTATCAAATAACGTTATTATGGCGAATTGCATTCAGACGAATGTGTCATTAGTTTTTCCGTTGAGGGCATTTCTTTTTAGGTAAATACCTTCAGCGGTTTTGGCTCTCAGTCATAAGGCCACGGCTTGTACGTAGCTCTCATCTTCATAGTGATTGGCTGAAAGTCGTAGGGCGTGTTCTTCGCATAGTGCAGCTAATTCTTTGAGCCACTCATCAAGTATGACGGCGTTTAGTATTGAGCGTAGTGTGATAGATTGGTTCCAGTAAGATTCCTGTGTAAACACTGGTCGTTTTTGTGGACTGGCGTATGTGTGGGGTTGTGGACTGTGCATGTGATGCTGGGAGGGCGATGAAGCTGAAAATGGAATGAGTTTCATGAGCATACATTGAGTAGACGTAAAATAAGATCACTTATGTCACATTACACCTGTTGTTACCCAGAGATGTAAGTTTGGGTGTTCCCATAAAAGTTATTTTTTTTGTACCGTCTTTATTTAATAGACAGGTAAGCTAAGAATTACTGCTCATATATCCTTTAATTTTAGAAATAAAGGTCATTTTAAAAACCTGTAAATTTGTGCTTGCAACCTTCAATCAACAAGAAAAATATGTATATTTAAAATAGGACAACTTACAAGATAATCTCCGTCCAAACATGTTGGATATGCTATTGGAGAGACTGCGACGTTTCGCCTCGACACGTCGGAAGGGCGAGTCGTCCGATTTCTGGGACGGTGAGTCGTGGCCGTGACCTGTAGGACAAGTTAGTAGGCAATAAATAACAATAGATTTTATACAAAGTATATCTCAAGTAGATAAATAGTAGATGGCCAAGTCGCAAGTGCGACTGCCGGGCAAGGGGTGTGATTTGATTGATTGGCAAAGTATTACTGTGTTTTTTTTTAGAAATTCTCAGTAGTAGCACGGAGTCTGGAAATGTGCCCGGTATATGGCAATAGGCTCACCCCTATTACATGGGACTCATAACATAAATAGTGAAAAGTGGGTGTTACATTGTATCTATTATTGTAATTTGCTTAATTATTTTCATTCCTAGTCTTTAGAAAAATACAAAGTGGCTTACTATCATCATTTGTCGGGCCTCGTGTCTTCACTAACGCCATCTCTCGTTGTATAAGGTAAACTCGCGCCTTGTCCACCAGCTCGCCCGCGTTGTCTATACCTTCCGTCAGCTCGTCTACTTCTTCTTTTAGTTTACTTAGTATCTGGAAAGAGATAAAACATAATTATAATAGGTATTAGGTACTTACATGTATAAAAGTGAATAAAATTAAGTGTGGGAGAGCCATGCTTCGGCACGAATGGGCCGGCTCGACCGGAGTGATACCAACGGCTTCACAGAAGACCGACGTGAAGCAACGCTTGTGTTGTGTTTCGTCATGTGAGTGAGGTTACCGGAGGCCCAATTACCCTCCCCTTCCCCAATCTCCCCAATTCCTGAATCCCCACCGATCCTCAAACTACTAATCCCCAAAAGGCCGGTAACGCACTTGTAACGCCTCTGGTGTACCAGGTGTTCATGGGCGACGCCGATTGCTTACCATCAGGTGAGCCGTTAGCTCGTTTACCGGCTTATGCTATAAAAAAAAACTATGGCACAGGACTAAAAAAGGATAAAAAATGATGTCTAAAAGTTACAAAACCTATATTTTTATATTAGACTAGCTTCTGCTCGCGACTTCGTACGCGCAATCTCGTTTCTCCCATTCCCGTAAGACTTCCAGGACTTTTTTCTGTCTGAAGAACCTTCTCCTGACGATAACTGACACAACAAAAAAAAAATCAGCCAAATCGGTCTAGCCGTCCTCAAATTATGGTGTGACAACGGAAAACGGGTTTCATTTATATATATATATATATATATATTTACATCCTGGAATCTTTTTGGCGTCACACATGTCGCGCATCATTATGACGTCCCCCAGTTCCCCTTAATATTTTTAATATGTCTTGATGAATATTGCTTAGTTATTCGATTTCCAGCTTTGTAGGAGATACGTCATTTTCCGATAATTTTATTTTTCGCGATATTCTTCTTGCAGTCATGCTGCAACATTTTTGAACTCCAAACCATCGTGATAACTAATTGGGCTCCTAGATATATTGAACGTGATTTAACCATGGCTTCGGCTAATTAACGTCCTCACAGCGTGGATGGTATTTGCGAGTGCAACGTTGCCAGCTTTGGGTTCACTTGTCTCTTTCTTTTCCTCTCTCTTGTCACTCGTCTGGGACAGAGTTTTAACAGTATTACAATATTCGTAAAATCTATCAATACATATACTAATGCCCGATATTGGTATAATATTGGTAACAAGATGCAAAAAATTGAGGTTTCTATGAGATTTTTACATGAGAAGATGCCGCAGTAGGAATAACATATTTTTTAAATGTTTGCCTAGTCTATTCCATACATAAATACAAATCGGTTCAGCCCGCATGTGATCGGCGCGGCGTACCGGTTTTACAAATTTATCTAAAGAAAGAAACACAGAACTCAATTTTTATTTCAAAGTAAGCAAGAGTAAAATAAGTGAAAGTTTCTTCCCCAGCGGTCATCATGTAAGATCATCTATAACTGTGAAAGATCATCTAGTTATTGGGCGTCCGTATATAGTTATTAATCATCATCAGCCTATTTAAGTCCACTGCTGGACTAGCACCATCTACTGGGCTACGTTAGGAATTCAAAAATGGTCATGCAAATTTCAGTTGACCCAAACGCTATGGTCATCAAGTAAAAAGCTATATCACTATACTGCTCACACACGGAAATGGGAGGTCCGTTGATTGCGGATCCTGACAATTGACATGGTAATGGCAGGGGTCTCTTGCGGAGCCTGACGATGGCCATGCGCGCGAAGAAAGTTTCTTCCTCAGCAGGTATCACTTAGCTATCGAACGTCCGTATATAGCTATTGGGCGTCCGTATATAGCTATTGAACGTCCATATATAGCTATTGGGCGTCCGTATATAGCTATTGAACATCCACGTACTTCCTCAGCAGGTGTCATGTTAGATTTGAGGAGTGGCTTGAGAGACAGAGACGCTACGGCGTCCTTATCTACCGCCTGACGCAGGTGCTTACCGGACACGGAATTTTCGGTAGGTTCCTGCTTCGGATTGGGCGGGAGGAAACGCTCAGGTGTCATCATGGTGAGAGCCACCCGGGGGACACGGTGGAGCATACGGTGGCAGTGTGCCCTGCGTGGGCTGAACACCGTCGTGTCCTCAGGAATGTGATCGGCGACAGCGACCTCTCGCGTCCGACACTGGTTCAGACCATGGTACAGAGTGAGGGAGACAGGGATGCCGTCTCCTCCTTCTGCGAAGCAGTCCTGCTAGCTAAGGAGGAGGCAGAGCTCGTGAGGGAACGAGCCTCCTCACGCTCCAGCCGTCACGAGAGACACTCCAGGCGTCGGGGATCGCGAAACGGTCTCCGTCCACCGTAAGCACGGGCCTGCGGTCGGCGAGCACGGATGACTTGCCGCCCGATCAGAACCAGACCCGAACGTACGGCGCGTCGCGTTCCGCATACGCCCCAAGGAGCCATCAGACCACCACGGGTGGAGCTGATGCCCATACGGAGCCACAGAGGACTTAAAGGGTGACCGGGGCTCCGACTCGAAGTGCAGGAATAGGAACGGGGTGGTTTTAAGTCAGTAAGAGTCGGAAGGTACCTGTGTCTGATGGGGCGGGAGGAAACGTCCGGGTGTCATCACTGTGAGGACCGCCCTGAGGACACGGTGGAACACACTATAGCGGAATGCATTGCGTGGGCTGAGCACCGCCGTACCCTCAGGGAAGTGATCGGCGATGGCGACCTCTCGCGTCCGGGCCTAGTGCAGACCATTATGCGGAGCGAGGGGGACTGGGATGCTGTCTCCTCCTTTTGCGAAGCAGTCAAACTAGCTAAGGAGGAGGCGGACGCATGAGGCAGCGAAGCGCTGCCTCCTCGCAACCCAGCCATCGCAAAGGACACACCGGGCGTCGGGGATCGCGGGAAGATCTCCGGCCACCGTAAGCGCGGGCCTGCGGACGGCGAGCATGGGTGGCTCCCCGTCCGACCAGAAACAGACCTGAACGTGCGGCGCGTCGCGTTCCGCGTGCTCCTCAAAGAGCCATAAAACCACCACAGATGGGGCCCAACAGGGCCGATGCCGAGTCGGAGTCGCGGAGAACCTAACGGGTAACCGGGGCTCCGGCTGGACGTGCAGGAGAAGGAACGGGGTGGTTTTTAGTCAGTAAGAGTGACACTCCCTCCCGCCTTACCCAGGCGGGAGCAGTCAATCGATGATTTTCCCCGCTTAAAAAAAAAGTCAGTAAGAGAAACTTCCTCTGAAACTTCCACTTGCCTCACCAGCGCGGCCGCCGGCGGCCGGCGGCAAAAGGCATTGGATGATTTTTTATCCCTCAAAAAAAGGTATCATGTTAGATCACCTAGCTATTGATCGTCAGTATATTGCTGTTGAACGTTCGTATATAGCTATTGGACGTCCGTATATAGCTATTGAACGTCTGTATATAGCTATTGGGCGTCCGTATATAGCTATTGAACGTCCACGTATAGCTATTGGGCGTCCGTAATTAGAAAAGATAATAAGAATATATCTTATTACTAGAATGGTTTTATTAAGTATATATGTTCAAAACTTCTTTCATTTAGGCTGGTTTCAGAGCTAGAGGATTGGGCAGCGCTGCTGAAGTGCCTCGCGCTTGGAGATGATGAGAGCTCTAGCATCGTTTTATTGCGACGCGACTGTCATAGAGGTAGAGGTCCCAGTAGAGGACTTTATCGCTAGAAATTATGATCTATGAGATACACTTTTATTTTAATCTAAACCTTAAGTAACTGAAGACCGCACCTAATCTGATCTTTGTGCGCAAATATTGTATTGAATTTCAATTTCATTTAAGGCAAGATTCCTAATTTAATACTTCTAGTTGTGGCCACTCGATTAACTCCTCTATTGGATTGTTGCCTGATGCCTCTGTTGTTGAAGCCCGCGCTTCAGCCGCGCTGCCCATATCCCCTAGCTTTGAAACCAGCTTTAGAGCTGAATACAATTAGTTGTATCAAATATTTAATTGGCAGCTTATTGATATGAAGTTACCAATTCTAATTAAGCAAATAAAAACAAAGAATATGGATATCATTTTACTGCCTCGTTGGCCGAGTGGTCGCAAGTGCGATCGCCTGGCAAAGAGTCTCGGGTTCCATTCCCGGGTTGGGTAAAGTATTACTGGGTTTTTTCAAGAGTCTGGAAGTGTGCCCGGTATATGGCAATAAACTCACCCCCTATTACATGGGACTCATAACATAAATAGTAAAACTGTGATATTACATTGTACAGTGGCATTAAGTGCCGTAATGTCATCTCTGCTACTCCTTCGGAAAAGGCGTGATGTTATGTTATGTTAAATAGGATATCACTTTAATGAATGTTTATGTTTTGTAATCAAAAACATTTATAAATTCCAAATCTTTAAACACGCCAGGCTAGAAATAAGAAAAACGTTGATTGATTTTCATCAATACAACATTAATTAATTATTCAGTGTTAGATGCATCTTCTAACCACATAAATAGATAAAGTTAATAAAATTACGTCAAAATTTATAACGGAGACTATACTATCTAAATACACATTTAATACGAGTTAAACTCTGGTTAACTTTTTTGTGGTAAGACATATAATTTTGTCACTTTAGTATTTATTTCGAAGATCCCTTAAGGAATTAATTTTATACCTCATCTATTATAATATCACTGATAGGTACTCATTTACAAATTGAAACAGGGTTGCAGATAAGTTGTCGTAAGTTGCAATCACATGATTATAATAAAATCGGACTCCAAATAATACGCAACACATCCGAAATGTACGACGATGAATATTTTTTGAATGCGGTAAATAATATTATGAACTTTTCCACGGATTAATGAGCGAACTGGCAACGTCGCTGTTATTTTTTGAGGACGCCAAATACGCGGACTTGTAATCAGAAAATCCCAAAAATATACAGCTGTGGATATACGCGCTACAGCAGCGCTCTATCTGCGCTGAGATTTTCTTGGGAACTTTTCAAAATACTATAACAGCCATTGAACCGATCTTTTGGCCTCTGTCGATTTTTAACCTACGTGTAGCCAGGACCAAAAGGACCTAAGTAGCATAGGCCAAAAAGTGGCGTCCGGTATGCGGACGCCACAAGCAGGTGGACGCCAGATTAAATGCACTTTCGCCTTCATGGGACGTCCAATCGATAGCGGGATGTAAATATATATATATATATATATATATATATATATATATAGATAACATCATTGAATTCGTTCAATGATGTTATCTATATAACCAAGACAATCGTAAACTTTTTTATACCCAGCAAAACTGACTCACGAAGTCACGACATCGACAGAAGATTATTATAATGTTACTTTTGGCACAACTCTTAGAATGTTAAAACATAGATTATGATTATGGCAACCCCGTTACAGAAACACTTATACTTTTTTTTAAGGGGGGATAATCATCGAATTACTGCTCCCGCCTGGGTGAGGCGGAAGGGAGTGTCAGACTCTTACTGACTAAAAACCACCCCGTTCCTTCTCCTGCACGTCGAGCCGAAGCCCCAGTTACCCGTTAGGTTCTCCGCGACAGAAACACTTATACTGGATGATAAATCAAAGCTGTAATCATTACATAATAATAACTACAAAACTACTACTGCACGCTTCTCACGATGCTTTCTGCCTCGCACAGCAAAACTGTGGAATGATCTGTCGTCGGCGGTATTCCCGAATCGATATGACCTTCAAACCTTCAAGAAAAGAGCGTATTGTGGAGAGCGTAAAGTATTTCGTTTTAAAAGGCCGGCAAAGCTCCTGTGGCAGCTCTGGGGGCTTACTCTTGAATCCAAGTCCGATCGATCGACATTGGTATTGTGAAATTTCGTACTCTTGAGTTGCAACACTAGCGCCCATTGCATCCGTATTGCGTGGATATTGAATGAACTAAACGGTATTGAGTTTGGCTTTATATCCCGTACTCTAAATGCTATGTTAACAGCTACGATAGGGGTTGTACAGTTTTGACATTGGATAATTATTGAGGTTTTATTGGACTGAAATTGCATTGACATTGAGATTGGTTTCAAGAGTAAGCACCCATGTGTTCCAGGTGTCCATGGGCGGCGCTGATCGCTTACCATCAGGTGATCCGTCTGCTCGTTAATCTCCTATTCCATAAAAAACTTACTTGAAACAAAGAAGGCACGTTAGGCTGCAATACAAATCCGGGACACAGCAGTAGCGAGGTCAGCAGAGGAGTAGGTAGTGACGCCAACTTGGAGACTACACTCGTGACGCGGCAGTTTACTATCACTTCAGATTCTAAGAGAACTGCTGTCTTCTTCAGAAGGCTGGCTAGTAATGGGCCTGTATGGAGTAAAAAAAATAGTGAAAAATTATACACAAATGGCTGCATTAAAATTTGTCCTTTAAAACACTCTTGTCTCTATTTCGGGATCCATCGGACTTAAAGCTAAGTTTTTTAAAACATCTTCCTTTTTATTCCTAAAGGTTATGTGATGATTTCCAGCCACCTTAAGCACGGTTCTGCGGACGCCAAACAAGGGTAATTCGCCGCCCAACCAGAACTAGACCCGAGGGTATGGCGTGTCAAAATCTCCATGCACCTTAAAGAGCCATCAGAAATGAGGCCCAACAGGGCCGAACCGAACCCGAAGTTGTGGTTGGCCTAACGGGTAATGTCACTAAACTGTACACTGACTTTTCAGCCGTTATGCCCGGGTTCCATATAATAGGGAGTGAGTATACTATAATAAAAAGGGTGAGCTTATCACCATAGCTTAAACCTCATGGTATTCTGAGAACAGTATTTTTATTTTTTTAAACTCACACTATGATTTTCTCCTGTATCGTGGGTGCGTTTATAAACATACAATATCACATACAGTAAAAATAACTTACCAATAATTGATTCAGCACTGGCCCTCCAGCTTCTGATCAAAGGCACCTCCCCTTCATACCCATTATCCTCCTTCTTTACAAAACTCCTCCGGAACAACTCCTCAGCGAATCCCTCATCCCCCTCCCCCTCTTTATACTTAAAGCTTTCATACCCACTACTCTCCCCCGTAGACGTCAAACTATCATGTTCTTTTAGTTCATTCAATTCGGTCTTAACTTCATTCTCCTGTTCATTCAGTGACGTCAAACTGTGCTGTTCTTTTTCCGAACTGTCGCTTGTTTTTGTCTCATATCCGCTCGTACATGAAATAAGGCTGTCCTGCTCTTTCGGTGAGACTATGTCTATCTCTTTCGTTTCTTTTGTATTGTTGTTTGTTTCTCTTTTTGGCGGCGTGACGCTGTCATACCGTGAGCTCCAGTTACTGCATGCTAGTACGCGGGATACTATTTCGAAGCGTGAATCGCAGATGTAGGCGTGGTAGTTGCCGAATAGTGTGTCGTTGGGGTTCTAGAAAGAATTATAGATAAAATATAAAATAATGCAAATGGTTGAAATGTGTTACGAGTCAGTTCGATATTTGGTTTTATAGATATGAAAGGTCTACAATGACCTACAGACAGAAATATGTTGTAAGTTATATAATGTAGCGGATTTTTATAGTTGTATAATATGCAATTTCTAGTAGATATATTGCATAATACGCCACACAATATCTCTTTCATTCAATATCTTTACTGTAACTTAATAACTAATTGGTTACCTTTAAAAAAAGAACGTTGCCACATTAGAATTTTCTCCTGTGTCGTGTGTGTTTGCAAACATACAAGTTCACATACACAATGACACCCAGACCCGAAACAACAATTTGTTGATAACACAAAGTGTTGTTTCGTGCGGGAATCGAACCCGCAACACGCTGCACGGCAGTTGGTTGCCCAACCACCGCCTTAAGTGCAGTCAGAGTCAGTCAGCAGTTTAGCGTCGCCTAACACAATATGCCACAGAGTCTATATTTAAATGCACTCACCCCATAATTGACTTTGATTTCATGTACCAAACTGTTCATGGCGATATCATCGTGGACTCCATTCACCCGCCTCTCGTTGTCACTCTTCAGATCAAGGACGCGACGTCCGCTCGTTGCTAGCTCGTCTATCCAATGTTTTGTCTGGAAAATATTTTATGATATACTAGCTTTTACCCGCGGCTTCGCTCGCGTCACAAAAGGATAAAAGTACCCTATGTGACATATAAGCAACTGTTTACACTGCGTCTACCCACAAAAAAATGTTTAAGACTTTAAGATATTCTATTCAGAGCTCTTGGTTCCAGAAAAGTTTGGTTAAAGAATTTATGAGTTAGTTTCCTAGTTCACTTACACGTTACTGGTCAAGGGTATGAGAATGAAAACTATAATTAGTTCTCTATTTTTTATTTTATTTTGTGATTATAATACTTTGATAAAACGAACCAAACTTCAAGAGTGAGAGCAAAAATATAATTTCTACGTATAAAACGTCCCTAGAAGTGACGTCACGCGATATTTAAAAAAAAAATGTGAGAAATTAAACAATATGGTCTAATGTTTTACAATTATCTACCAGACGGACATTAAAATAAAAATTAGTCATCTACACTATTTCATTGAATTATCCTTAGGTATAGTGTTTACAATAATAAAATAATATCACTCAAAAATCTTACCATCTCCATAGGCCTCGAACAGCATCTGGGCGAGAGTCCCAAGAATGCGATAGCCGCGTCTCTATACGGCTCCGGATCAGCTATCTTGTGTCTATAGGCTACCATCAGGTGATGGCCGTTGAGAAGGTGCTTGAAGACCAGGTCTACCATCACATCTTCGCAGTTGAGGTCGATTAGTGTCTCCATTAGAGCTAAGGAGACTAGTGACAGCTGGAATATAGACGATAAGTTAAATAAGAGCTTAGCGTTTAGGTTACATAGGTTTGGATCTCAGTGAGTTTAAATCGGGTAACAAATTTATTTATTTATTTATTTATTCTTTAATGTACATAATTTGTTTATGGTACATAAGGCGAACTTAATGCCATATGGCATTCTCTACCAATCAACCTTAGGGTTTAAGTAGAAAATCTGCGAAAACTGAGGTACGGAGAATAAACTAACAACAAAGAGAGAGAGAGAGAGAGAGAGAGTAAAAAATAATGGTAATTATTAAATAATATAGTTATACATATATATTACATAATAGTAAATAGTATATATAGTCATATTACAACATATTGTAACTAAGATTTTCGATTTCGATGCTAATATTCTCAATTAACTGATGAACAACAATGAACGGACTAGTAGAGCTTATCTCAGTAAATTCATGTGAGTAACCCGTAATATTTGGTTAATTTAGGTAAGATGTTGACATGATCTTAAGTATGTTTCACAATAGTTAATATTATAAAAACATAGCATCTTACCTTTACAACAAATCCAGATAATTAGCAGCTTTTCAGTACAAAATTAAAGAAAACCGAAAATATCCTCTAATCACGCAGTTCACTCCATGAATTAGACACAACCAACTACATCATAATATAATAAACAAACACAACAAACCTGAGAATTGCCTTCAAGTCTTCGTAACAACACATCGACGACTCTAACCCCATCATACTCATATACAAAGAGGAAATGAAGTACAGCCCGCAGTAGTCCTCGCCTGGTGACGCATCGCAATAGAAGTTCGAGGTACGCCATCGCCGCCGCTTGTTCCGCCGCGCCACTCTGCAACGTCGCCGCTTTCGTCTACGGTATGTTCCACGTTAGTAGGCTTCTATATACAGGACGTTCCGCGGTTGAGTGACAGTTTTTGGGATAGGAAATAAGGGGGAGATGTGAAATTGCGGAGGTTTGATTGTGAAGTTTTGTATGTGGTTTAAAATATGTATTCATTTTATGCTTTTTTATTTAGAACTTTTTGGTTGAAAACAAATGGATATGTAATAATCATTTTGAGTGTTTACTTGATTATGGATATTAATTTTGACGTTATTTTTTTTTTTAAATATATACAGAATGTTTTTTTTTCTAATGCACTTTAGTTATTATTTATTAACAAAGTCTATCATGATTTAGTGTCATTCATAGTTAGTTATATTAAAAGACAAGTATTGTGTAATCAAAATTAGTTTAGTTAATAGTTTAAAAAGGAGGTGCTGGAAAGAATAGGTTAGATGTAACTGGAAGAGTTTAAACAAGAAGGTCGAAACAAAAGAAATAACAGAAAAAAGGTTAGATTACTACCACCAACATGGAGGAATTTAATCGATTCATTGCTTGAATAATTGAAAATGAATAACCAAAACTGAAAGATATCCCGTCATGTAATTAATCGATAAATATAAAATCGACTATCGATATATCGATTTCCCGACTTCCCTTAGTTTTCACAAGAAAGAACGTCACACGCATAATTATAGAAGCACAAAAACAACAAGAAAACCACACACCAAGACATAATGCCTTCCATCACCAAAATGATATAGGTATACCAAACCAACTTTTATTGTGAACTTTATCTTCTTCAATACAAGGTTCACTTTAGCTATCTTTCTGCAATATTTCATTAATATTGATTCAAATGTTTATGTATGAAAGAAGAAATAAACGATGTTTTTCATAATCGGACATTTACGAGTTAGAAGGAGAAATTTAACTAAGATTGATCGACGCACATTTATAATGTTCTTGTTTTTTAATAATCGCTTATTGTTATAATAATAGACATTAGATTTAATGTAGACCTTCTATGATGCCTTTCCGGACCATAAAGAATGATATGCACCGTATAACCGAAACAATGTAACCAAGAATTGTATTATGAACCTGAATGAAAAAGAATAACCTATTGAGTTTCTTGCTCGATCTTCTGCATAGGAATCAACACTTTGGAACGAGCAAATAGCTTCACTAGAGGACTAAACTGAGATTTTTTCTTTAATATTTCAATATTTTGTTTTAACGTTCAAAAGTGCCTTCCTGGTCTAATTGAAATAAATGATTTTGACTATACATTTTTCTGATTTTTTTAAACTATTTTTCTTGTTTTTTTTTTTCTGTAACGTTACAAATAAACTGTTTTTGTGTTTCTTTATATGACTATAATGTAAGATGTCCACTGTCCAGCGATGAATCGATCAAAGGATGTTTGCCGTCACTAAACCGCGTCGACATGGCCCATACCGGTGCGACCCGCGTGCAATGAAAGCCCACTTACGTGATGTTATGCCGTAGAACATGTTCAAAGTTAAGCACATTCCAGTAATTGTAAATTAAAATATTAGAAAGTATAAAGCCTGAATACTGAAAGGCTAATCAACTTTAAGTTGTACTTAAATATCGTGCCGTCTCTGTTATTGTACAAAGAGTTGGGTACTTGCCAACTAGACAAATTCAATACTTTTTTCGAACTGTCAAAAACGACTGTTTTCTATGTTTTCTTTTCGCTTCTTTGACAAACGAGTCTCCAAAACGACCTTGTCGACTATACTGCCAGTGTCGGAGGATGACGGCAGAGTTTTCTATGTTAATTTTGTAGGAGATTGTATATTGTGACGTCACGTTTTTTTAGCGTCAAACAGCATATTTATTTATTAAAAATTTACTGGAAAAATATTGAAATTAAGTTGGTCATGAAATCAATAAAATGAACGTGTGATTATTTTTTTAATATTTTATGGTATTGAACAGTCGAAATAGTTTATTTTTGATTAAGGAAAGTACCCATAGTGACAGATCTATAGTTAAGCGCAACTGTAAATTAAGTAACGTTTTGTTCAATATTCGGGCAATAGGAATCTAGGAATTGCAATTTCGAATTCACAGTAAGTTAATTAATAAAATATAGTGTTACAATGTCTGATAAGTTGCGTACTAACTCATACGTTAAATTATTTATTCGTCAGTTACGACTTTCAAAAATGTAATCAGAAATTGTTAAACAGAATCATAATGGAATGACCATGTTTAAATATCTAAAAGTAAATAATACTGGAAGGTGCTTCGTTTCAATAAATGAAATGCATTATGACTCATATGATGAAGTTCATATGAATAAGAACTAGTTTTATTCTTATTGTGTGGTTTATAAACTCCAAAAGAGTCATAATACATTTTTCAAATACAATTAAGTTTAACAAAAATGTCACTTTATATTCTTCACACTTTGCGAGTAACAAACGCGATTATATTTGTAAGTATAAAATCTATATAAATATTTCAATATGACGATTAATTAATGGTACACACGGCTACACATCGAGCTTTACATAACCAGTATAAACTGAACGTTAAATGTGCGGAAAGATGATGCGACGCGACGCCAGGATAAGCTGGTTTTGTATAGATTGATGTGTGGCCGTGTGCACAAACAAACACATGATTTCATGAAAACACACGATGCTTAATATAATAAAATACATATACTTAATACATTATAGTAATAATTGTAAGAGGACATTGAAAAATGAACTTTATTTTCTATAGCTTAAATTGCAAATTAGAAAACGTATAGACGAAATGCTAGTTTGCACTTTAAACAACTTGGAAAAAGGTTTATTTTTCAAATGTAATGCGAAAGTTTCTTGCTTCTATACAAAAGATGTTAAATTAAACCCTATTGTTATTTCGAATAGAGTTCAAAATACAAAATCAATTTATGTGCATAATTATGAAGGTAAATTCTCACCTGTCTATAACTGAAAGAAAGACTATAGTTAGTATTAATTTGTGTCATTAGTATGTTAAAGAAATATGTGCTTTATTGTATTTGTTGTTTAAAAGTATTTAGGACTTTATTTCGTATAGTCTTAAGGTTCAAATTGTCTTTTAGTGTGGTAGAATTTTAAGATTAAGTTTGTTGGTGTTTTATTGTGGAGTTTTTTTTATAAATAGTATACAAATTTATATTTTATATGTGTAAATGTAAATACAATACTTATATTACAATATGAAATTAAATTAATGACCATCAGCCAGGATTTTGTTATGGACAAGCATTTATTTAATAGAAATGATAAAATCAAGTCTTAGTTCATTTTAAAAATACATATATTCACCACACGAACATAAGATTGTCACTGAAAATCGACAAATTATGCCAAAATATTTTCCATTCAGACGTTTAAATGAGAGCTGTTGTAAGAATCGAACCCGAGACATTAGCGTCCACGTACGCACGAAGGTCGTGTTATAAATTACATCTATGCAAAATCCATAACAAAATCCATGATATAACAAACATAACAGACTGGCAACGCATACAATATGTCCCTAGCTCCCACTCCTGCGCATGATGACGCAGTTTGACAATATGGCGGCGTTTGGCGCTTACCTGTAGTAACGCTGGGCCCATCACCGGAACTAAGAACCCTTGGTATAGTAGATCTAGTAGATGCTTCTTTATTGAGGGATGAGCTACCTGAAGACACGAAAAAGAAAAAGGTGTGATTATCATAGACATTAAATATCAGTTACTGTATTAACCCATTTTGACCTACTGTACCACATATGGTACAGTAAGTTTATAAAAATATTTTGGCCTACCCACAAATTAATATTTTTTTCTTTTAATTGTAACAATTAGCTCAGAGTGTTAGTTTTACATTAACAATAATACAACAGTATTTTTATGCAAATTTCGTAGAAAATTTTATCGAAGACACCCAGCAGGGACTACAGGAAATATTTACAATAACTTCGAACAGGTAAGTCCCATATTATTTATTGTAAATAATATTATTTTTCGATACTATTTTGCAGAGTAGGTCTAAAGAAATATTATACTATACATGTAAACAATTTTCGGTAAGGTAAGTTTAGTAAGATATATTTGTTCCTAAAGAAGGTGTACCGCATATGGTACAGTAGGTTTATGTAACATCAAAATCTTCTTGTACCTACTATCTAGTACTAGTTATCTAGTTTTATCTAAAACTGAATTTATTTTATTTTAATTTCAGGCCACGGACACTGCACGAAATTGCAACAGTTCTCGAAGAAGATGATGATATGAGTAATCAGGGAAGAGCTATTTTTTACTACCAGCACTATACTGATAGTGTCACTGCCCATGAGGATTGGACTGATGAAGACTCGTGTGGAAGATAACATCGACATAAATAATTTGCCTGTTGAGACACAAAGAAGCAAAAAAAGGAGGGAGGGCTTCTACGATTATCGCGTCTCTGATGATGTAATAATTTGTAAGTGCCAAGATAATAGCATGGTTTCAGTGTGTTCCAATGCAGTTGGCATCAATCCTGTACACAAAACTGAACGTATATGCAGCAACAAAAATATAAAATATCTGTACCTTATCCCGGAATGTTTTAATGTGTATCGCACAAAATAATAAATAAATTCACTAATTGAAAAATCTTGTGTATTTGTATGCATATAGTCCTTCTGTACCCGATATGGTACACCTCCCCTACGTCTCCCCAGTAATTGTACTTTTTTTCTAACATTTTTTTATTGTTATTTGTACTCCTCTTAATGAATATAAGTTAAAAGAACTAAAATTTTTCAAGAAAATAATTATCGGTCTAAATGGGTTAACATAACATCACATCTTTTACCCCCGAAGGGGTTTTTTTTAAGGGGGGAAAATCATCGAATGACTGCTCCCGCCTGGGTGAGGCGGGAGGAAGTGTAGAAACCACCTCGTTCCTTCTCCTGCACGTCGAGCCGGAGCCCCGGTTACCCGTTAGGTTCTCCGCGACTCCGAATCGGCATCGCCCCTATTGGGCCCCATCTGTGGTGGTCTGATGGCTCTTTGAGGCGCGCGGGGAACGCGACGCGCCCTACCCTCGGTCTGTTTCTGGTCGGACGGGGAGCCGTGCTCTATGTCCGCAGGCCCGCGCTTACGATGGCCGGAGATCGTCCCGCGATCCCCGACGCCCGGTGTGTCCTTCGCGATGGCTGGGTTGCGAGGAGGCAGCGTTTCGCTGCCACACGCGTCCCGCCTCCTCCTTAGCCAGCATGACTGCTTCGCAAAGGAGGAGACGGCATCCCAGTCCCCCTCGCTCCGCATCATGGCCTGTACTAGGCCCAGACGCGAGAGGTCGCCATCGCCGATCACTTCCCTGAGAGCACGGCGGTGCTCAGCCCACGCAGGGCATTCTCCCACTGTGTCTTCCACCGTGTCCTCAGGGCGGTCCTCGCAGTGATGACACCCGAGACGTAACGAATAAAGTATTCGAAAGGGGTACGCGTCCAGCGCTCTGATTGGCCGGCTCTAATGAACCAATCCAATAGCTGGACCGACGACATCGCCAGAGTTGCAGGGAGCCAGTAGATGCAGGTGGCGAGTGGTCGTTCGACGTGGAGGGCTAAGGGGGAGGCCTTTGTCCAGCAGTGGACGTCTTCTGGCTGTTGATGATGATGAATGAACCAACGAATTAGAGCATCGAACACGTACCTACTCCTTTCAGTTACTTTAAACAAAAAACACACTCGTGCTGAGCCCTCTGTGCCGCCAATACACTTGTAACACCTCTGGTGTTGCGGGCGTCCACAGGCGGCCAATAGCATACCACCGTCTACTCGTTTGCCGTACTATCTCATAAATTATATTACAATTTGCATACCTGTGCCACAGCGTTACAGAACTCTAGTGAGTCTATGAACAACGTCAGTTTGTGTACGTGGTTCACGTCGTCCGGTGTCAGGCGGTATACTTGCTCGCTCAGGGTGCGCGGCAGGAGGGAGTACAGACCGCTTAGACCTGTGGGAGATAATGGACTTTGTAGTTAGATGTATTAGGATCGATTTTGCTTGTCTTGCATTTCGTGTAGTAGATTGTAAAAGATTACACACTGTTTAGTTTGATCTCATTCGAGATATAGTAGTTAGCTGTAATGTTGTCGACCATTCGATCACTTTTTGGCCCCGCAATAAGGTTCAATTTTGTTTGTAGGGGCCACATCAAACCAATAGATCACTATTATCACCAGCTTACACTGAGTTGGCGGGCCCTTTCGTCGTGGACATGCTGCCACCTTGTTTCTTTTATTTTGCTTTTTTATAATGTTTTTTTTTTTGCCTTCATTGTTGTTTTTTTTGTTATTTTTTATTTTTTATATTGTTTTCTTTTTTATTTTTGTTTTTCAATGTTTATTTTGTGTGTTAATCTTCGGTGGTCCATGTCTGGTGGCGAATAAATTATTTTTCTTTCTTTCTTTCTATTATACAAAAAACGAGCACATATACATCAAATGAAGACTCAATTAGATCCAGCAGTTACCAGTAGCGAGTACAGGGCACGTGTTCCCGGCCAGCATGAAGTCAGCGAGCTGCGGACAGCGCGCCGACATCTTGGCACACAGCAGGAGCGCGTCGCGCGCCGCCGCGCCCGGACCGCCCTCGCGGTGGACCGACGACAGCAGGAGGCGGACTATTATAAACCTGGAGTAGAAAGCAAATTATTAAAAATATGTGGTTTAATCGCATCATGGATTAGGATTTTGTCCTGTGTCGTGGGTGCGTTTACAAACATACAAGTTCATATACACAATGACACCCAGACCCGAAACAACAATTTGTGGACCACACAAAGTGTGATCCACAGATAGTTGTTTCGGCTCGAATAGGTGTCATGCACTTTATGTTTGTAAACACTGCCACGACACAGGACAAAATCCTAGTGTAAGCCTTTAATCTAACAAAAATAATAATTTGATTACTGGGTTGTTAAATATGTTTATAAGAGCAATTGGATAATTTCCTGGGTCAAAAATATATAATTTTGATTTTTCAATCCAATTAAATATTGAAAACTAATTACACTTTCATTCATTGATTTGACGATATACTTAATTTTCGATTTAACCTAGCATTTTTTTAGACATAAGTGCTATTTGACGCGAAAATATGATGACGTCATAAAATGGTATTTCGTACAAAATTCATAGAACAGAGTGCCTAGCACGAATAACTATCGCATTCGTAACGTAATAGTATCGAGCGCGTTCGGCGCTCTGATTGGCCAGCTCAAGTGAACCAACCAATCAGAACGCTTAACTCGCTCGATACTCTTACGATACGAATGCGATAATTATTCGTGCTTGGCCCTCAGTATCGTTTTTGACGTTTCGATAAAAGTATTGAATTTGACTAGTTGTCAACTACCGTATTGTAATAGAAGATGCTATGCTACTAGAATATTAAACCTCCTTAGGTTCCTCCTTAGGTATAATTGCAGAATCAGTGTTACTATAAATATAAGAATATTAAAATTCAAAGACCTAATATTTTGAATCAAACAGATCATTGAATATTCTTTTAACAGTAAACTTTCTAATAAACCTACACATATACATATATTACACAAAACTCCATAACAAGAGCACATTTATATAGAACTTACTCAGCCTGTGACCCTTTTTGTGTGTGCATGGTTAGGAAGAACAAATCCAAGAACTTGATGTTCTGCATCAGCGCCACACACAACTGGTTCAGTACCGTCACTAGCTGACCTGGAATCACACATCAATTTTAGGTTATATCAAGCTAGTAAATTGTCGAAAGGATATTATCTATACAAATAAAAATTACTGCCTCGTTGGCCGAGTGGTCGCAAGTGCGACTGCCGGGAAAGGGGTCTCGGGTTCGATTCCCGGGTCGGGTAAAGTATTACTGGGTTTTTTTATTAATTCTCAGTAGTAGCACGGAGTCTGGAATTGTGCCCGGTATATTGCAATAGGCTCACCCTATATTACATGGGACTCATAACATAAATAGTGAAAAGTGGGTGTTACATTGTACAGCGGTATAATATGCACCTCTGCCTACCCCTTCGGGAATAAAAGGCGTGATGTTATATATGTATGTTATGTATTGGCCCACCAACAATTGTATACATTAGTATATTAAACAACAAACATTTTCATTAGATAACAGTAAAACGTTACAATCGATTACAGGCGAGCACATCGTTCTATAAAAAATATCAATTATTAAAAACAAAATTAGAATTAAAAAACTAATTAAGTTGCATCAACTATGAAAAGCATCTCATAGTTAAGCGAAAAACAACCCACTTATCGTTAAAGTAAAATCTTAGTCTTATACTATTATATAAAGCGGAAGAGTTTGTTTGTTTGTTTGTTTGAACGCGCTAATCTCCGAAACTACGGGTCCGATTTGAAAAATTCTTTCTGTGTTGGATAGCCCATTTATCGAGGAAGGCTATAGGCTATAAAACATCACGCTACGATTAATAGGCGCCGAGCAGAGCGAGTGAAACCGCGCGGAAGTAGCTAGTCATTAATAAAATACACGCGTAAAGATGCAATAACCAGGCAACGTTCTTTGTAGTAAATATAAATAAAGATAAACGACATCTTGTTTGATCTTTATCAACAAGTATTGCACATGTTTATCTGGCTACACAATGTTAGATATCGACATTCATTCTTGAGATAAAAGTACTTACTCATCTTGGGAACTTTACTTATAGTTTTCGTAAAATATTAATCAGTAGTAGCATGGAGTCTGGAATTGTACCCGGTATATGGCAATAGGCTCACCCCCTATTACATGGGACTCATAGCATAAATAGTGAAAAGTGGGTGTTACATTGTACAGTGGCATAACCTCTGCCTACCTTTTCGGGGATAAAAGGCGTGATGTTATGTTATGTTATGTTTTGTTTATTCTTAAGCACTTAATACAATATATCCACAATAATTTTGTCCACAATCGTTTTACAGGTATATGATTTTAGCTTCTGTAGTCGAACTAGGAATTGCCTGTATTTCGACTATCAGTGCCCGACCATCAACGTACAGATAATTTCAGCCTTTCCAATTTAAGTTATATAATACTAGCTACTTCCGCGCGGTTTCACCCGCTCTGCTCGGCTCCTATTGATTGTAGCGCGATGTTTAATAGCCTGTAGCCTTCCTCGATAAATGGACTATGCAACACAAAAATAATTTTGCAAATCAGTCCAGTAGTTCCTGAGATTAGCGCATTCAAACAAACAAACAAACTCTTCAGCTTTATATAGTAGTATAAGATATAAGATTAATGAAAATGATCCAGACATGTACCAACTCGAGTTTTCTGAAGATTATTTCGACTTATATGTACTATAATCTACAATGGTAGAGGTAGACACAGTAAACAAACTTGTTAGACAATTGTGTAGCTTTCAATTCGTAAGATTGAAGTGAACACGATGGCAGTTCGCTATGTCAATAGTTGTGGGATAATCTCGATCAATGACGAGAGAGTTCGAATTGATAGTGACAGATTATATATAGTACAGTTAGATACAGTACAGTCATTTCAATTAGACCAAAAAGGCACTTTTGAACGTCAACAACAAAAAATTAGAAGTGAAGCTAGTTGCTCATTCCAAAGTGTAGATTCCTATGCAGAAGAACGAGCAAGAAACTCCATAGGTTACTATTTTTCAATCGGGTTTACAATACAATTCTCTAGTTACATGGATTTGTTGGTTCGATTGTGTGAGAACAATGCAACACCTAAATCCAGTCAAAAAGATTGAATAGCCTATCTTACCCTAAATATTTGAACGTTTTTCAATAAACTGAAAAATTCTTAACAATACTTTACCCAACCCGGAAGAACACCGACTCTCCTCGTTTGACAGTTTTTGGAATTAAATTACTTTTAAATGTACTTACTCTCAAGATTAGGTGGAGGTAATTCATTTCGGAATCCGCTTAACAATTTCAGCAGCGGTCGTAGGAAAGGCTCTGCGGCAATCACCTGTAAAATAAATAACTGCTTTTAGTGTTCCATTCCAATCTGATATAGTAGATTCAACCATATTAGTTTAGCCATAGTGGCGAAAATCTAATAAAGTCTGAGTAAAACTTAAGTCATTTTGGCAAAATGATTTAAGTCTTTGACTGCCAGTAGAAAGCTATTGAAGGAGTTTGATGTGTTAAGCTAAGGATACACTAAGGGAAAAATGTCTTATGCCCGAATACTGAAACGTTACTCAATTTTAAGTCACGCTTAAGTATAGTTCTGTCTCCACTAATTCTTTGTGAAATGACAGAGATGGCACGATATTTGAGCACGACTTAAAATTGAGTAACGTTTCAGTATTCCAGCATTAATCTGTTAAACACCGCGAGGACACCGGTGTCCGCACACCTATTGTTCTTAATTGTGTCTATAACGACGGTACTCAAAGGGTTAAGATATGTATCGGCGACAAGTCGAGAGGAGCCGGCCACGTCGCCTGACATATACGGTGACAACTTATGTCTACAGTGACGTTGATCTTGCCAGACATGTCGATCAGAGTCCAGCAACGTCGCGCTACTTCACCCGACGTCGCTGGTGACACGTGTCGCAGTATATTTGTCCCATGTATCCTTTACTTCAAGATTGGTTTACACTATCCCTAAAAGAAGGGTAAAAATACAAATGGTCAAGAGTGAGTGCAGAGTTTAAAGGAAATATAACAATTTCTTCTATAGGTACACTTTTTTTTTAATGGGACAAGCCCGCCACAACCTCCCAAAACCGCTGCAACTCCTGTAAGCCAGGATCTACAGTAGATACAACCATGAAAACACCGGAACACTGAAGTCCGGCGCGTCCCAGGGACATGAATAACTGTCTTGGTTCTCGCAACGAAGTGAATCAGAAGATATTATAAGTGAAGAAAAAAAAATTCTATACATATAATAAAATCGTAGAAAAGTCAAAACTGTACATTGAATATTTTTTTTAAAGAATACTTGGGGCGTGATCTGCAATCGATACCGAAGACGAAAATATGGTTTTTAGAATTTTTGTCTGTTTGTCTGTTTTTCTGTATGTCCGGGAAGATCTCCAGAAGTACTGCACGGATTTACTTCAAATTTTGCATGAATATTACTAACAGGTCGGATCATATAGGCTATATATTATCACGCTATCATCTATGAGGGAGGAGCTGTAAATCATTTTTTCTCTTACGCATTCTGTGACAGCGTGCAAACCTCTATAAAATACTAGCGGTCCCAACAGACGTTGTCCTGCATATCCACTTGAATGTATGAACAAAAATTCATTCAAATTAGTTCAGCCGTTTAGGATAACCAACCTAGACACCGACTGCAGCGCCATCTGGCGGGCTGATTTGTGAATCTAAACCATTCCCAAATCCCCTTGAACACACACAAAAAATTTCATCAAAATCGGTCCAGTCGTTTGAGAGAAGTTCAGTGACATACACACTCACAGAAGAATTATATATGTATATAAAGATAAGGGCTCACGAATACCCAAGATAACACAGCATACTTGAGATTTATCATCTACATACAATACAGGATAATGCATATAGAAGTGCGAACAATAATTACCTGAGTACTATAATGGCTGATAAGATGTCCAAATAACTTGAGCTCCTCCAAACGCACGGCATTTTCGTATCTGTAACGATGGAGTTATGTGTTATTATCGTGTGAATTGTTAAAACGCCTATTTTATGTCTAATGGTGTGTTGGATAAGATTTAATATTGAACCTAGAGGTCTCTTGCTCGTTTTTCTCCAAACGAATCTACATTTTGAAACGAGCACTTACTTTTTTATGGGATAAGCCGGTAAACGAGCAGACGGATCATCTGATGGTAAGCAATCAGCGCCGCCCCATGGACACCCGAAACACCAGAGGCGTTCGTTACAAGTGCGTTACCGGTCTATTGAGGATTGTTGGATGGTAATTAGGTCTCCGGTAACCTCACTCTATTACCTTTATGTAGGGTATAAATTCCAGCTAATAATAATAATAACATTCATAATTCAAACACAAATCACTGAGCTACTAGAAGATTCGCTCAATTCATTACAAAAGCTTAAACTAATCTTATTGTCAAGTACGAAATGATTACGAAATTCTTTGTACAGGGCTGTGTACGTCAATAGATATGAATAGTTCATATTATTGATAATAGATTAAAGTCCCTATATAATTGATAGGGAGCGATATAAATCAGCAATCTACATTGACGGTCGTTGATCTAATTAGTTTTTTATTTATTCAATCCGGTACATATTTGATACTGGTGTCAAACTCAATGCCTTAATAGAAATGTCAGATTCGATAGTTTTCTATGGATTTTGTATGAGATTTAGATATGTGACGTCATACTTGCAAAATAGCATACTTAGTTATTAGATATTAGCTATAAAAATGCGAAATGTCGCGGAGAACCTAACGGACGGGGCTCCGGCTCGACGTGCAGGAGAAGGAACGGGGTGGTTTTTAGTCAGTAAGAGTCTGACACTCCCTCCCACCTCACCCAGGCAAAGTCAAAGTCAAAGTCAAAGCATTTATTTCAATTAAACCATAGTTTGGTGCTTTTGAAACGTCAACAAATACAAAATAAATAATAGTCTGTCAGTCAGTCCGTCAGTGAAACTAGGTGAAGCTAGGTGCTCATTCCAAAAAGTAGATTCGAATGGAGAAGAACGAGCAAGAAACTCCATTCGTTACTCTTTTTAAAAAAAGTCTGTTCTACAATGTCTCTGATACATATTTCAATACTGTACGCATATGTAAGAACAATGCAAAGACACGCTTGACGCATTATACTAATAACTTACAAAAATTAAAAAAAAATAAATTAATAAAAATTAACTTAAAGTCCAACATGGTGCTTACATATGCATACTGACAATCCATAGAATTAGTGCTTCTATACAAGAAAAGGAAACTCTTTGTTTCAATAAAGAAATGCTCGATGCCATAAGGAAACTAGATTGTCTACATTAGAATTAAAGTGTTAAATTATGTATTAAAATACCTACTATTGGAATTTAGCTACTGACTACATTTGAGTATTGTCCAGTGGAGCCGAACCAACATGCTGCCAAGCATTCTTATCTTCAAGATAATCTGTCAGTGTGTAGTAGGCTTGATTACATAATTCGCGCTTAATATATGTTTTAAATTTACTTTCACTGAGATCTAGTATGCTATTTGGTATTTTATTATAGCATTTAATACCTAACCCCATAAAGGATTTCTGTACTTTGGACAGTCTGAATTGCGGTATAGCTAACTTATTTTTGCCTCTAGTATTAAAATTGTGTCTATCGCTTCTTTTTTCAAACAATTGCCTATTTTTCCTTACATACATTATATTTTCATATATATATTGACAGGGCACCGTTAAAATATTTATCGTTTTAAACAATTCTCTCAGCGATTCGCAACGGCGTAAGTTATATATTGCTCGGATAGCCCGCTTTTGTAGAATAAATATTGATTCTATTTCTGCAGCTCGACCCCACAACAAAATGCCGTACGACATAATGCTGTGGAAATAACTAAAATAGACAAGCCTAGCTGTATCTACGTCCGTGAGCTGTCTAATCTGTCTAACTGCAAAAGCAGCTGAGGTCAATCTCCCCGAAAGCGCCTTTATATGCGGACCCCATTGTAGCCTATTGTCTAACGTAATGCCTAAAAATACTGTCTCGTCGACAAATTCTAACTTTTGACCGTTCAAAACAATATCACTATCGTTACTACGCACGTTTGGTAAACTGAATTTAATACATTTTGTTTTTTTCTCATTAAGTGCTAGATTATTAATGGTGAACCAATTATGCACTTGAAGAATGGAGCTGTTTACGTCGTCAAGATTATTTGTACGTCGATCTATTTTAAAAATTAATGATGTATCATCTGCAAAAAGCACCATTCGTGGTTCATTTTTAAATATAAATGGCAAATCATTTATATCAATCAATTTTCTCAAAATCGCGGCACGCGTGTACCGCCCACAAAGCCGTTCTAATCTTCTTTATATGTTCTGTGGTTTTAGCAAAGTTATTTGTTTGGTTTATTGCTTTCTCCTAGCGTAAATCAAGTTGATACAAGTCGAGTGATTAAATAGGTATCTATAGATAAATTTAGGAAATGTAGCAGATACAGTAGGAATGTAAACAAAGTAATAATAATAATCATTTGATATGCAAAGCGAATATTTAGCACTAGCTTCTGCCAGCGGCTTCGCCCGCGATCCCAGGGGTAAAATGCCTATGGATCACTTCAGCCCATAATCTACCTCTGTTCCGAATTTCATTCCGGTCCCTTCAGTCGTTTTAATATGACTAAGTAACAAACATACACATAAACTCACATATTTTCATTTATAATATCGAGTCAAGCTAATTTCAACCATTGGCCTTTCAGTTACAGCGTAAAGTCTATGAATGAGTATTGTAAACGTTAGAGTAGACAAATACAATCAGAAATCACCGAATTGCTAAGCTATCGGGAGTTTCACGTGTTATTGTGAGTCAACCTTAAAAGATAGACATATGCTGTCGAGGAATATTTTTCATATAATTTAATGGAGAATATTTCCGTCATACATGATTTCTATGCAGCTTTAACCTGTAAGCCTGCACACGCGACGGAAGCTTAAAAAATGGAGTAACTTCTCCCGTTTTCCCAATATTTCCCTTCACTGCTCTGCTCCTATTGATCGTAGCGTAATAAAAAGTATACTATAACCTGCCCAAGAGTATGAAGAATAATTGTGCCAAATTTCGTTAAAATCCGTCGAGTAGTTTTTGTTTCCATAACGAACATACAGACAGACAGACAGACAGACAAAAATTTTACTGATTGCATTTTTGGCATCAGTAGCGATCCCTAACCACCCCTTGATAGTTATTTTTTAAATATATTTTATGTACAGAATTGACCTCTCTACAGATTTATTATAAGTATAGATATCTATTAAAATATCTCTAATCTGATTATAAAAAGTGGTTCAAGCATCTGTATTATAATCAAATTCTAGTTCGATTGTACTCAAATAATAATATGCTAAACAAATATTTATCAGTAGCAATTACTTTGAACATTTTATGAAATAAAAATAACTTTGCAACTTTTATTTAATTTTTTATTTTATCTGTAATGTATACCGGAAAGCGTAGCGTGGGTAGGACATCCAAAAGATAGACTAATTAATGAGTTTGATGACCTACTAGTGGTCAATTTATTTGGGAAAAGCAATTTTTTTCAAAAATGAACTTTGGTGTCACGATATTAAGATGCAGTTAGTCCAAGTTTATCGGGGGCAACGGGATGGTCTCGCTACGTCGAGAAATTGTTTTAATCACTTTTGCGAACGCAGATAATATTAAATAAAAAACAATTATTATGCAGGCTTAAAACCTAGTTACTATAATTATTGAATTTTAATGTACAACAATATAAAAACAGAGCACGACCTAAGAAAAGATATATAGTTTGTCTAACCACGAAAAAGAAGACTATGAAAGAAAGTAGAACTTTGTAAAAGTATGCAAAAATGTACTTTAAAACAAGACCAACAAAACTCAAATTCACAATGACCTCTATACCTGCAAACCTCAATAACACATGAATGAGTAATAATAATAATATTTATATATCCTATTAATAATACTCTACGTCGCATTATTTACTAAGTGAGTCACACAGTCGCACAGGAAATAATAGTGTTGACATAAACTCATATGACCTATGACCCGGTGTAATCTTAATTAGGTAAGCTAACGTTAATTATAAAAATTATATAATTATAATTAAGTAGCGTTTGTTTTAAGAGCTGTTGTAACATTTATTATTGAGGACACTCTGTATCAAGTACAGTCAGCAGTTGTGCTACAATCACCATTCTTGTGTTGAATATTTTATATTTTTATGATTTACTAGCTTCTGCCCGCGACTTCGTACGCGCAATCCCGATATTTCCCGTTCCCGTTCTTGATTTTCGGTAAAAAGTAAAAAAAAAAGAATTGGGTAAAAAGTATCCTATGTCCGTCTCCTGGTTCTAAGCTACCGCCCCACCAATTTTCATCCAAATCGATTTTGCCATTCTTGAGTTATAAATAGTGTAACTAACACGACTTTCTTTTATATATATAGATTCTATAAATATAGACCTAATTTTTGACATGTATGTCGACAAGAAGTTAATGAATAAATAGGAAAATAATTTAATATACTAAAATAAAGACTGATTAAGAAGCTGGTATAATAAATTAAAATTTATACTTTTTTGTCAAATTGGGCAGCTCAATGAATAATGTATCATATATAGACTACTTAAGGGAATAAAATAACAACCAAGAGCTAAACGCTGCTTATGTTGGCTTATCGTTTGTACGTGCGCATACGCACCTGTTTCGTTGTATGCATTATCTTGTTTCTTGTAAATAGTCTGTTAGATTTCTTGTTATAATGTTTCATGTGTATGTCGCAATAATTTATATATTAAACATACATGTGTTTTATAAAAAACTACAAATCAAAAACTCCCTATCCTGGAATCGAACCCTATTGTAGGAAAATAATAACATTCCTTTATTGAAGATGTAAGAAAGGTACCGCCATATGTTAATAGGAATATGAAAAACATTGTTTCGACCATCAACCCAACAGACATAGTCAGTTGAAAATGATAATGGATGAAACAACATTTATTCGCACTAATTATCTCTTGATAGTGACGGAGTGGCAATTTGTTAAACAAAGCGAATTGTCCGATTTGAGCACAGTATTCATTTATTATTCTGTACCTATTTGTAGGTAGTCACTTGGTGATCGAAATTTTAAAGGTTTGTATTGAATTAAGAAACAACATACATCACGCCTTTTATCGCCGAAGGGGTAGGCAGAGGTGCACATTATGCCACTGTACAATGTAACACCCACTTTTCACTATTTATGTCATGAGTCCCATGTAATAGGGGGTCAGCCTATTGCCATATACCGGGCACAATTCCAGACTCCGTGCTACTACTGAGATTTTTTAAAAAACCTCGTAATACTTTGCCCGACCCGGGAATCGCACTTGCGACCACTCGGCCAACGAGGCAGTCATTGAATTAAGAAACTATAATTACAATAAACTATTATAAAAAGAAGTCCTCTTTCGCGTCTGTCAGTTTTTTTTTTATATTTGATGGGCCGACGTTTGACCACTATCTCGCCTGGTGGTAAGCGATGACGATCTACGATGGAGCACGTCGTCTCATAAGCAACCTTTTCACTAGGGCCTTGTAGACACCCGGGTTACACCCTTCAGGAAACACACAGTTTGTGTCTGTACAAACTAAATAAACCTAAACTATCGGACTACTATGATTCCTCAAGAACCCGACTTAGCTTTGCAATTATTAGTAATATTTGTAAATATTTTCTTACCTACATAATAAGCCTTGTCCTAACAAGAACGAATATCTACATAAATCTGACAAGTCGAATCGGTTTAGCATTTAAATTTAGAAATATTTTTTATAATTTATAGCAGCTTTACTAAAGTACATAAGTTCCTGCTAGTTGCTATTTGTGTCATGAAGCGATGATAGCTTACGCCCGAATACTAGACTCAACTTTAAGTCGCGCTTAAATATACTTCTGTCACCACAAATTCTTTACAAAATGACAGTTATGTCACGATATTTAAGTACAATTTAAAATTGAGTAGCATATCAGTAATCGAGCGTTAATTTCTTAAAATAATTATGCATTAGATGCTACCAGCACAGCAAAATTTTTACAAGTTGTAAAATCTTCAGTAAAATAATTGAGTTCAACAGCCTATAAATGCCCACTGCTAAGCAAAGCCTATTCTCACACGAAGAAGGTTTGAGCGTTAATCACCACGCTTGCTCAATGCGGGTTGGCGATTACAAACTTATAATTAGAAATTTTAAGCCCAGGTTTCCTCACGATGTTTTCCTTCACCATTTGTCAGTGGTGTCTGGGTATTCTTAGAAAGTACATATAACTCGGAAAAAGTCACATTGGTACTGCCGTTGGTAGGTTATGAACCCGTACCCTCATGCAAGAGAAGCAAGTAATTGGAGGTTCTAAAATCTTCAGTAACACTTACTTTCCAGTACAAACAGCCCATTCATAAAGCTTATCCAACAGGTTTTCACTGAGCAGATACTCTAGACAGGAGGCAGGACTGGTTGCAGTGTTGATCTCCCTTGCTTTAGCCTCGAGTACTAGCAGGGTGGAGAGCTGTTCCAGGTGATTCACTACGCCTAGGACATCGTCGTGTAGGTGGGTTGGCTGTGGAGGAAAGGAAGTGAGAGTTAGCTTCTTTCTGCCTAGTGTTTCTTGCAAATAACTGCATTTGGCATTTTGACTAAGGTCTAAGACTTGGATATGTGTCACAACTCTAGGAAATATGTAGTCATTGAATTTCCCGCAATAGATAATCTCAATTGGATTTCGTATCAAAGTTAGCTTTTTTATCATTAGTGCGGTTGTAGGTATGTATCTACAAATAAATGTACCTATTATATTCTATAATTGTTCATTTAAGAAGTAACTACAATGAAGTAAAAACAGTACCTTTTTGCCAAACTTTCATAAAAGTAGACTTAATAATGGACTTTCAACTCTATTGCTTTAGTATACCTAAAGTCGAAAATTGAAGCACACACATATCTTGATTCTATCATTTCCCAACGTCATAATTTACCGATCACAAGGATTATGACGTCACAATCAATTCCAAATACATGTCACTCTGGACATGTTAAGACATATTGAACCATACTCACTTGAGATTTAAGTATAATATCGTGTGCCTGTTGCCAGTGCTTGCAAAATGACACGTAGCAGGCATGTGGCTCATAGTCGTGTCGAGGGTCGAGGGTCCTCGAGAGCTGGCGAGCGAGCGAGAGGCTGGTTGTCCGGAGCCAACTCATGGTTGCCTATTTTGGGTGACGCATCTGTAACAAATATTTGTGATTAGATTGGGACTTTGGGTGAATTGTTGGTGTTGGTTATTGGGAATCAATATTGGACAAAATGATGGTGTAAATATCTCTCATATTACATGAGACTCTTAACAAAACTATTGCTGGTGAAAAGTAACATGTTGCATGAAATGCGTATACCTCTATTTGGTGAAAAAACCTAGTGACTTTAAGTTGATACTTTGCAAATAATTCTTTTATAAATTGCGTTTAAAAAGAACCCCCCTCTTTCGAAGCCGGTAATTAATACTAAATCCTTCTCCTGAGTGTAACAAACACTTTTCTGAAAACCGCATCAGAACTGGTTAAACAGAGAACCTCCATATTGAAGTCGGTTAAAAAGATAATAATAAAATAATGAAACATTATTAAATAGGTACATGAATAACTAAATAAATAATTCGCCTTGTCAAGCTATCATCAAATAAAAAATCCTTCCTCAGCTGTGTTAATAATTAATATTAATTAAATAATAACTAATTGTATTTTCAGTTATAGGTGTACAAAATATTTAGTCAACTAAATACATTGAAAAGTAAGATGAAAGTAGGTTTCTTAAAAGTACTTTCACCACAAATAGTAAGTATATTTTAATAATTAATACACTAATTAGTAATTATTCTGACATACTGATCCAAATAACTAATTGTTCTGTTACTAACATATGTTTAATTCAAAACACACCACTGTCTGTGTATCAGTGTTGTATCTAGACTATATCTGTATGTACAGATATATGCTGTTTCCTTCTACATAGGTGTATATTGTGTGACATGCATACTGATTACAAAAACTGTTACATGCAGTAGTTACTGTTAGCGGTTTAGTTCGATATTTTTTATCTTATACGACTGCCTCGTTGGCCGAGTGGTTGCAAGTGCGACTGCCGGGCAAGGGGTCTCGGGTTCGATTCCCGGGTCGGGCAAAGTATTACTGGGTTTTTAAAAAATTCTCAGTTGTAGCACGGAGCCTGGAATTGTGCCCGGTATATGGCAATAGGCTCACCCCCTATTAAATGGGACTTATAACATAAATAGTGAAAAGTGGGTGTTACATTGTACAGTCGCATAATGTGCATCTCTGCCTACCCCTTCGGGGATAAAAGACATGATGTTATGACGTGTTACTTTAAATAAGTTTTTGGAAGTAACTACTAAAATACTTAACTAATAATTGAGGCCGAACATTTGTTAAGCAAAGCAATAAATGTTTTGAGTATGACATAAAATGATAGTGAAGATGTAGCGAGTTAGGTATGTATAGTTGCTCACTACTTCCTCTTACTCATCTAACTAATTCTGACAAATAAAGACGATTTTTTTAAGGGGGTAAAATCAATGAATTACTACTGCCGCCTGGGTGAGGCGGGAGGGAGTGTCAGACTCTTACTGACTAAAAACCACCCCGTTCCTACTCCTGCGCTTCGAGCCGGAGCCCCGGTAATCCCGTTAGGTTCTCCGCGACAAAATAAAGACTATAGACTATGAACTGTGTTCAAAATTAAAAAGATAAATACAAATTACTTTATCATACAAATATAAATAAAGTTTTCCAATTTATTTCTAGGTTCTAAATGTGAATGTAGCCTAACATCGTTTATTTAATCGTCGGCGCGTGCCCCATTGTTCAGCCATCAGGGTACTACATAACTACACATCCCGTCATACAAGTGAATGTCGTACACACATCCTTACACACTATACAGTACCTGGCGATAAACATTGCACATCGACCTTTGGCAAACACACACTGGCAAAGTCGCCGCGTATATAGCTCATAATTATGGGCCACGTTTTTTTCAAATACTATACTATAAATATTTGAATAAAGAATAAAAAAGAGATTATGATGTCTTTTTATTTTTCGCGGAAATTGGAACATTTGGAACAACAGAATTCGACGAACTAGATTTTTAATGAACTTTAAATATTTTATTACTTTGACGTAGGTAGCTATCAAACAACAAATCAGGGATGTTATCGATATGAAATTTCGGATACGGATTGGATATGGATATAGAAATACTATACTACGATGACGGTACTCAAAGGGTTAAAGAAATAACCAGTCACCTCTTCAAATATCAAACAAAAATTCTTTAGTAAAGAGCTTCTCTTCTCTTCTCTTCTGCTAGTTTCTCGCGAGATCCCGTTAATTATCTTCGTAGAGATTAATCATCAATCCCGAGATTAATCATCTTCGAAAAATGAATGAGGTCTATTGAGATCGAGATTGCGTTTCCTAATCATATTTGTTTATCAACAGTTTTATTGTCATAAAGTAAGAAGGAACTACAATTATTTTCTATCACTAAATGTTTGAAAATCTTATAAATAAACTTAAAATCCTTACTAATATTATAAATCGGAAAGTGAGTTTGTTTGTTTGTTTGTTTGTTCCGCTTTCACGCCGTAACTACTAAACCGATTGCTTTGAATTTTTACAGACGTAAAGTTAGAAGTCCGGATTAAATAATAGGGTACTTTTTATCCCCGAAAAAATTGATATTCCCGAGGGAAAACAAAAGTATTGGTATAGCTAAATGTATTGGTATATGTCACATAGACTACTTTTTATCCTTTTGTGACGCGAGCGAAGCCGCGGGTAAAAGCTAGTAGTAGTAGTAAATAAAGAAAGTAATTAAGATATGATATATTTATGTACTCGTTTGCTAATTAACAGGCGCCTACATGGTTATAATTTTGAGTGAATTTTTGATCGAAGTTGGTACCCGCGAAATAGTAACCGAATATTAAATGCCTTAAATACCCGGAGTATACCCGGTTCCGGGTACCCGGGTAGAAAACCCTATCGTCGAATCGACCATACAAAATTGTCTCTTTAACTACAAAAGTCAATGTGCAATATTTATTGCCAGTTACTGTAAATACTAATATTTATGTTTGAATGATAGGGAATGCCCATATCTGGCTGTGTAGTAATTTTATTGCCAGATACTGTACATACATAAGCATACTATACATATCATACATTTTTTTTTTAAGGGGGGAAAATCATCGAATGACTGCTCCCGCCTGGGTGAGGCGGTTGGGAGTGTCAGACTCTTACTGACTAAAAACCATCCCGTTCCTTCTCCTGCACGTCGAGCCGGAGCCCCGGTTACCCATTAGGTTCTCCGCGACAGGTACCATACATAGTAGTGTTGTAACTACTGAGTGGCATTACCAATGTCTCTATTGATTTGGTCAAGGGCAAGCCTGTTATTGTTTATGTATTGTGCATACAAAATTGTAAGGACAAATTAGTTTTAGTAGGATAATAGGCTGTTCGTCTTATTAGTAAGTAAGGGATTGTATGTCAATAATATGTAGTTGAATAATACTGTTTAACTACATAAAATGGAAATTTTCAAAATTGGGTAGTTTCAAGGGTATCAAAATTAAAAAATCTAATTAGTCCGTCAGTTAGATAATGAAAAAATATTAGACACGTATTTTTTTATTTTCTCGTATTAGGTTGCAATACTTAGATAAAGTGGCGCTAAGTTTAGTAGTGGGAGGTTGTTACGTCATAACGTGCTACAAAATGTGACACTCTGTGACGTCACACGATATTTCAAATTAATATATCGTCGAAAGTCAATTGGATATGTTTTGACTTCTTAATGTCCATTTATGAGAAATCCACAACATTTGTTCATACAAAAGTAGACTCTAAACATCGGAAATAATGTCTATAATGGTGTAAGTGGGCATTCACTGGTGACCGCTTGGATCTTGACCAGTTAAAATGAAATCGACCAAGGATTTGTTTGATCTCAGTCAGTACTACTTTATAAATATGTAAGAGTATCATAGTGCTATACTGTAAGAGTTCTCAATATTAGCTTGCATGGTCAAAACAAAGTACAAAATTGTATGAACTGAATGCTGACCTTTAGAACACAGCTAAAGATAATCACAACCAGTAAAGGATATTGTTTTCAAAGTCAAACAATTTATCTTAATTAGACCATTAGCACACGCTTGAAAGTCAACAAAACAATACATGTCTGTCAGTCATTCAGTCCCTGATCAATCCTCATGCCAGTCATGACTAATTCCATTATAGACCTTATTTCTGATGTTTAGACACTACTTTGGCTTGTTTCATATACAATTTCATGGGCATAATAAAGTATACAATGCCATGGTTACTCTTATACTAAACAGATCTGCCTGCCTGACAGTACAAAATTATCTCGCAGATGTGTAATACTAGATTAAGTTAAGTATAGAGTATGATATATTTCTGTGCCGACCAACCAGATTCAGTTGTTTTGTTGTAATCTTGTATGATAAAACTCATAAAACTTTGCATAACATACTTAAATGTTAATTACAATGATCTTATATGTCTTTCGGGATAATGAACATTCTAATAATACACATAGGTACTAATAACTCTAATGTAAAATTTAATACATCAAGGAATGTGTAACCAATTACAAACCAATACAAAATAACTACTTTTACCCGACTTTCACACTACAAATACTACAATCGAGTATGGTGTGAACATTATAGGTACTCGTGTGAGAATTCACAAACAATGACATTTGTTAGTGAAACTGTGTAATTAGCATTTGTTTTTAATTCTAGTTATTTGAATACAGATGCAATAGTTGTATGATGCAATGATATTTCATGAGAATAGATAGCCAAATTGTAGGTAAGTAGGGATTGTATGAATTAAGAATTAGTTAAGTGTTACAAACACATATAAATACCTACCTAAAATATGGATTTTATGAAACAAACAAGTGTACCAAGGTAAGTCACTCGGAACACCAGGGGCATTACTAACGCATTAATAGTCGATTGGGGATTAGTAATTTGAGGGTTGTTGGAGATTCAGGGGGGTAATTGGACCTCTGGTAACCTCACTCACACGACAAAACAATCCAAGTGTTGTTTTATGTCAGATTTCTGTTAGGTGAGTTATATTGATTTCCTTTACATTGGGGTTTATTTTTATTGTTGATGTCATATTTTATATTTTGAAGTGTGCAATATTTATTATAGAAATTTAATGTAATGTATCACTTATTATTCATAGTAGAGATAAGCAGGTATAATGCATAGTGGAGTAGGTATGCTTATTTATCGGAATTCAAATTGGAATTTGGTTATACCAAAAATGTTTTCCAATTAAAAAACAAGGTTACACATTGCAAGTTTGCAAGATTAATATACTTTATCAAACATGTAAATTCAACATTTAAGGTATTTGACCATGAAGAATATATTTTTGAAGAGCAATTAATTGTTATACAAGTCCAATTAACTAACAAAGTTTCAGTAGAAACATTTGATTTTGGTGGTTTGCAATAGCCTTTCTTATATTTCGTCTGTATCAGCGTCAATAAAAAAAGACAATAGTGACACAGGGTGTTGGTATTTTGACAGGAAAAAGTTTAGCAAAACATTTATGTTTCTCAGAAGTGCATGCATAAGATACAAATATCGCTACACAATCTCCTGTGGTGACAAAGCGGAACAAACCAACCAGTCTATCTATACTTACTTCTACGTACAGAAGTAAATAAGAAACCTTGACATTCGACATTTATCTATTGCAAAACTACGACAAAATTATATTACTGTAACATTACTAACACTTATTACAGGAAATAAAACAAATATACTCACTGCAAGGAAGAATCCTGAGTTGAAAATAGATAGTTCAGCCCGCAAAATAAACCACAAAAGTTACATGATACGCAATTCACACAGAACGTAGTCTATTTGATCACTAAATATAATTTTGAACCACACCTTTACTGTTAAAACAATGCTATCACGAGTACCATTGCCTTTAACAACCTTGTTTAACTCAAAAGCTGCAAATTGGGATTAAAAACTTTTTATCGCGGAAAAAAGAATGCAATCTGCAAGCAATCCGTAGAGACAACCATGCATGAATGACAACTAGTGATGTATCAGAATGTGACTCTACAATACAGATTATACTATAAAGAGTTTTAGTAGTTTAAATTTAGTCGATTATATTTGTGCTCTTATAAAAGTGCTGAATTTCGTATCATTTTTGACCATTTCAACATGTAAAATATATACTTTGTTAAGTGTATTATATTGATTGTTTGATAAAAATATCAAATTAAATCATAACAGCTAATTATTATCATTCCATGCAGTTATTGGAATTGACTCGAATAACATTTGAAAATGAAAATGACATGATGTCAATAGACTTAGCTCTTTTGTACTATTTTGTTTCAGGGATTATAATAAAAATATTCAGGGTTTGGTTAATAAAACAAATAAAATGTTTAAAACCAAGAGCTTTGCGACTGTTGTTGATGCTGGTGCTGGCGCTAGAGCTGAAACTGATAATGAACCACTCAAGAAGTTGAAATCCGTGAACATTTTAGATAGCAGTGATTATTCTGCTCAAGCTCTAGTACCTTCTCCTTTGGAATTCGAAAAATTTATTCCATGGGTGTGTAAACAATGGTGTACTTCTACCGCTATTCTGATCACTCGAAAAACGCAAGGTATGCTTTTAAAATAGTTAGCAATTTTCTAGTGGCAAATAGAATGGTTTCGTGAAAACAGACACTCTTTTTTGGAGTCAAAACAAGGAAATAATGCGTCGGTTAGCCAAGTCACTTGGACCGATGACATCGCTAAAGTCGTGGGGAGCCAATAAATGCAAGCGGCGAGTTATCGTTCGACGTATTCAGCATAGGACGTCCCCCGGCTGATGATGATGATAAGACCCGTAAAATATTACAACTTAAGTGAGTGAGAGCCATGCTTCGTTCTCCTCTATTAATATCTTCTGATTTATCTCGTTGCGGGATCCAAGACAGTTACTCATGTCCCTGGGAGGCTTCAGTGTTCCGGTGTTTTCATGGTTGTATCTGCTGTGGTGCACGATCATGGCCGACAGGAGTTGCAGCGGTTTTGGGAGATTGTGACGGGCTTGTCCCAACAATAAAAAAACCTTGCTTCGGCAGGAATGGGCTGGCTCGACTGGAATGATCCCACAGCCTCACTGAAATTCGACGTGAAACAACACTTGTGTTGTGTTTTGTCGCGTGATTGAGTGTGGTTAACGGAGGCCCATTTTCCCCAATCTCCGAATCCCCAACAATCCTCAAATTCCTAATCCCTAAAAGGCCGGCAACGCACTTGTAACACCTCTGGTGTTTCGGGTGTCCATGGACGGCGCCTAACCTACCATCAGATGGTCCATCTGTTTCGTTTACCGGCTTATTCCATAAAAAACCACTACTAAGGCTCCTTGAAGAGACCATACCTTTCTTTTTCTTTATATGTCGATTTATTGTCAGTTTTGGTCTGTGCTTAATTATTATTGAATTATCTAAATGAAAAGGTCTCATCATCAGACACCACTTGAACCAATGTCTATACTAAATGTCTGGTCTTTTAAGACTGTATAGACTTTAGGTAGACACCTGCCTCCTGAACTTGGAACTTGGCACCCATTTACATAGTTATAGTTTTGTCTGTGGAGGCGACAGTTTTATAGTTTGTTTGTTTGAACGCACTTATTCTCCGGAACTACTAGTTATTGAATAATTATTTTTGTGTTGGATAGTCCAACTCCATTTACCGAGGAAGGTTATAGGCTACAAAACATCGCGCTATGATCTTTAGAAGCCGAGCAGCAGAAGGTACCGCGAGGTAGTAGTTAGTTTCATAAAAAACTTCTAAAGATATTTTATTATTGAAGTTGTCTATCAAGTTTATTTTCACACATGTTGTCTGATCTTGCTTACAGAACCTCCCATAAGAAAATCAATCACCAAGACAAGGAGTAAAACCTTTAGCCAGGATTCGAAACCTAAATCATCTGAAGAAATTTCACCGCCTGGCTCTATAGTAAACATTGAACAGCAAATTAACTTGAACGTGTACGGTGAAGAAGTGGTCCCAATTACAGCTTATTATGACGTCAAAAAGCGATTAATAGAAGTAGCCTTTCTCGAATGCCAAGTTACCGTGTCTAGGAAAATTATCCAAGCCATTAGCCTCTCCTTACCTTACCATTCCGCGTTAACCCGGTTCACTTTCCGTAGAAGTGGATTGACTGATAAACTAATTTACGAAATTAATAAATTACTTCCTATTTCAAATATAACTGAGGTTTGCTTTGATGATTCGCACGTAAAAGAAGGCAATTACTATATTCTTCTCGAACAGTTTTCCCAATTGAAATATTTGTCACTTAATCGGTGCTGCATTAATGACGACATTTGTAAGAAAATTTTCACAAACATTCATTTTCATGCACCAGCTGGGAATACCCTACAAGTTTTAGAATTGGGATCTAATGAAATAACTGATGAAGGAGCTAAGTTCATAGGGACTGTGCTTAGAACAAATCGATGTTTGTTACACCTCAATTTGTCAGGAAATATGATCACCGACGAGGGCTTCCGACCAATGATAGAAACTTTAATGAAGTTTCCTTTGGAATCGGATGAGATTATGGCAATGAGACGCAGAAAATTTAGATATCTACAGAATAAAATTAATGTGTACATAAGATGCCTTAAGGATTTGAAGTACGGGAGAGCGCCAACGCCAACGCCAGCGTCAGTAGATGACATGGAGAGCAGCATATCTGGGAGGAGGTCACTTCTGAAACACTCACACAAAAAACATAAGAAGATATCACGCCAAAGTGAAGCAGATAGAGCTGAAGCCATGGCTAGAGGGATAGCAGGTGATTTTGAAGATCCTTTCGCACCTGAGAATTTGGTTTATAAGGACGACAATGTAGCCTACTCCACGGGGAATTTAATACTGTGTTACCTAAATATGGCTTATAATAATCTAGAATTTCCATCTCTTCAGAGAATCAAGCAAGTCCTAGCATATCAGGATGATGTGGCTAAGGCACGCAAAGAGACCGGACTGATTCGAGTGATATTAGATGGGAACTATATTCCTCAAAAGTGTGATGATATGGAGGAAATTGATTTATATTTAAGAAAAGTTGTAATTTTGAAGAGTTGGGTTAGAAAGGCAAGGCCATCTGTTGTCTTAAAACGGGTGCATAGTTCAAAAAAGTTGATTTGATTGATTGAAGACAAAATAGGGATGTTAATTAAAAATATAATTAGTCCGTCAGTTAGGTAATAAAAAAATATTAGACACGTATTTTTTTTATTTTGTTGTATAATAAAATGATACTTAGATATAACGAATCAAAGTTTAGGAGTGGGGGCTAAAACGTCATTTCTATGTTTAAAATGTACATAGAAGTGACGTCACGCGACATTTCAAATCAATATGTCTTCGACACTATTCGTTTCCGTAAAAAAAATAAAAATACGTGTCTAATATTTTTAAATAATCTACCAGACGGACATTAAACTAAAATTAGTCATCTACCCTATTAAAAAAAACTTATAGGTATCTGTTATTTTTGGTACTAAGAAATGATAATCTATATTTTAATTTGCATAGAAGAATAATTCTCCTTCTTCCACACAAAAATCACATTTGACCCATTCACCTTTTTCATCTTTAGTCTCCCATTTGCTTGTTCCTGCAGACATAAGCTTCTCTTTTTCAGAGAGCAATTCATCTTTGAGCTTCTTTAAAGCATACTGCAGTTGTGTTGGCTCGCTCGTAAAGTTTAAAGCACTTTTCCCTGTTGTTATATAAGTTAAGAATTCTTGAGTGAAGTGATGTTTCCGAAATCCAGTAAATGATGGCCTACCTATTGACATAGGGTCAACATTACCAAGAGATTTAGTAAGCAATGCTTGTGCCATTTTGGTCACATATTTGAATGTTATTGGGGTGAATATTATTGATGTTTGTTCGCTCCTTTTCAAGAAGACAGAATTTACTTCTTTTCTTGTATGCCACTTGGGCCTATTAGTAATTTTTTTTTTTTCAAGAACTGTCAAATTCTCTAAGTATGTCCCAAACATGGCATGGAATACCACTTCTGATGTTTTTATTGGGTCTGCCCCACTCCTCATCTTGAATTTCAACCCTCTCTGTGCTACTAAGTCAGTGTAATATTTGAGGATAGGTGCTCCCGAAAAGCTTCATTGAGTGGTACCCTTATATGCCCACATAATATAGAACAATAATAATGGGAAATATGCTTTCTGTGTTGATCTTGAAGTGGTTAACAATAATATGTCGCCTAACTCTTTCATAACTCCAGAAACATTCCCTGGGTGTGTGGCTTCCTTCAAGGAATTAATAATTTCTGAAGCTATTGGAAGCATTTGGAGACTATGACCCATTGCTGATTTGAGCTTATCATAGAATTTATCTTCCTATATATGTCGCGGAGAACCTAACGGGTAACCGGGGCTCCGGCTCGACGTGCAGGAGAAGAAACGGGGTGGTTTTTAGTCAGTAAGAGTCTGACACTCCCTTCCGCCTCACCCAGGCGGGAGCAGTCATTCGATGATTTCCCCCCCTTAAAAAAAACCCTATTAAAAAAAACTTATAGGTATCTGTTATTTTTGGTTAAAACGTTATGTTATGTGATATTATGTTATCTCCGAATTAGGTTCCTCATTGGTGTAATTACAGGATCGGACAAATTATTATTGTGCTTTTTGAATTTGTCGAATATTCACTTCTCTGTAAAAATGCAGAAACTGGAATCGTGCACAGAATATAATATATAATTTTTATCATATTCTGTTATGAAATACAAACGCGTAATATAATTATGCACCTCTATCTAACCCCCCTTAGGTTGAAACTTGATGTTAGGTGCCAACGCGCTTTAATTTTATTTTTAAGCTTTAATGACTTTTTTTTTATTTTAAGTGTAATATGTATTTTTGTTTACTTTTAAGTGCATTTAGTTCGTTACGTATTATAACTTTAAATCCTTTACCTTTAAATATCTACTCAAGTATTCAGGTTTCATAAAAGGTGTTGTATTTTTATAATAACCATCATTGTGAGATATTCTGAACGACAACGGAAGCCCTAACAACTAGGCTGGGTGACGTCGCTCGTACGCGCACTCTGATCATGATGATGAGTCCCTCTGTGACTCGAAACTAGTAGAGCTTTTCTCTGTACCTCTATATTTACGTGTGTGAACCGTTATTTTTAGTTATTCGGAGGTATTGTTTAAGAAGAGTAAGACTGCCTCGTTTGCTGGTCGCAAGTGCGACTGCAGTGTCTTGGGTTCGATTCACGGGTCGGGCAAAGTATAAATGGGTTTAAAAAAAATCTCAGTAATAGTACGGAGCCTGGAAATGTGCCCGGTATATGGCAATAGGCTCACCCCTTTACATGGGACTCATAACATAAATAGTGAAAAGTGGGTGCTACATTGTAGGTACAATGGCATTAAGTGCCGTAATGTGCACCTCTGCCTACCCCTTCGGGGATAATAGGCGTGATGTTATGTTATGTTTAAGAAGATGATAATTTAAGTTTATAACAGAATTATTATTATTTTGTATGTCTGTAGGAATGTAAAGTTGCTTATGTTGCCAAGGTACGATATTTAGATACTTGAGTCCTAGTTATTATACCTAAGGACAATTTTTACAATAAATAATTTCTCAAATTTTGTCTTGTTTTTAATTATGTACCTAGCTAAGAGTCACTCTAGCGTTTGCCCGGTGTAGGCGTTCGATAAACGTATGCGCCGCGCAGACGCCCCGACTACGTGGTACAGTTGTCCCGCGTTGTGACGTTTACGCTGGAAAAACGCTAATGTGAAGGTGCTCAGTGCTAAAGAAAACATGAAATGATAGTTGCTGAATCATTTATTCGATTACAGAAATTATGACATAATAATTAGTAGATATATTGTGTATTTACAATCAAAGTGTTATAGATAAAGCTTAACATGTTTTAATTAGGTATACAATACAAAATGTTCTAGTTTTGGTAACTTTCGGTTTCAACATCACAATTTTGTACCAATCTTAACTTAGTAATACTAAAGCGAATTCGATGACCTATAGCCACCAAACTTACTAATAACCTAACTCTAATAAATAGTCTTTACTAACGCATAAAAGTATTTAATTACTTATTGTAATATAAAAGTCAGCACCAACTTTCATTTGTCAAAATTTGTACTTAATACTGACACCCATTTTTAAGGCAATACTCCAATTTACAGGGCTCTCTCCTACATTATGTATTGGTTTGAAAATAATTGTAATTTATGGATTACATTCAGGTACGCTTATAAACTTGTTTCTAGTATTTTATTGGTCTTAATTAATTTCTAGGCGGGAGATATTCTCTGTTAGGTTTCTGTGCAGGCCTTCCTCTACTACCACCTCCATTAAAACTTGGCCCACTAGGTCTACCTGACGGATATCCTTGACTACCTGACCCTGATCCAGGATAGGGTGTAGTGGAACCTGATCCTGGGTACCCAGACCCACTTGGCCCACTTGAAGGTCCTTGTGGACCAGAACCGGATCCAGGGTACCCTGGATAGTTTCCAGAAGGACCTTGGGAACCTGGGTAACTACCTGATGGTCCTTGTGAACTAGGATAGCCACCTGATGGCCCTTGTGAGCCGGGATAACTACCCGATGGACCTTGCGATCCTGGGTAATTTCCAGTTGGACCTTGAGGCCCTGGGTATCCACCTGATGGGCTTTGGGAACCAGGGTATGAACTGGTCGACTGTATACCAGGGTAAGGTGTTGATGGCCCAGAACTACCTGGATAGTTAGATGGCCGTGAAGAGCCAGAACCTGGGTAAGACGATGGCCCTTGTGGCCCTCTACCACCTGGATAGGAAGATCCAGAGTAGTCGTTGAAGCTAGAATAGTCGTCGGAAGATCCTTTGATGGAATAGTCATAGAGCTTAGCATTCAATTCGTAAAGGCCAGGAGCAGACTCACAGGTGAACTGATTCCACCAAACGCAAACGAAATCTTCTTGAGAGAAGATGGTTCCATTAGGACAGAGGAAATCATACGTTATGTTGTTGGAGCAAACGTGGAAAACTTGACAACGGGCGTCAACATCAGCATAATATCCAGGAAGAGATTGAGCTTTGCAACTGAATGAAGTTTGAGGGATGTAGGATAAAATGGGATAGTCTATATCAGGTTCGCCAGGAATAGCTGAATAGTCTCCACCTTCGTAATTACCATTGTCGCTATCAGAGAAACTAGTGGTATCGTAATTGTTCCCAGATCCAGAGCCAGGATAATTTTGACCTTGTCCAGGATATCTAGATCCTTGACCGGGGAATCCAGATGGGCCGCGTGGTCCTTGAGGGTAGGATGAGTCTGATTGGCCGGGGTAGCTGCCTGATGGTCCACTAGGTCCTTGACCAGGGTAGCCTGGTCTTTGGCCTCCTGATCCTGGATAATTTTGAGGTCCGGAAGGGTACCCAGTAGTTGGTCCACTGGGGCCGCTGAAGTCATCGCTTTGTGGTCTTATAGGGTATGATGTTGTCGTGGTTCCTCCGGATCCAGGCGATGTCCCAGGTCGGCTCGACGTTCCCTGACCAAACGGCCTGTTGGGTCTGTTGTAGTCGTATCCATTTTGGGCGGCAGCAAGGGCCAGTACCACTGGAAAATAGAGAAGAATTTTATAAATGACTTGCTAAGTAAAGTAATTCTATCAGATAGCGAAGTTTTATTTGTAAGGATCCTGGTTTGTTGGAGAAGTGTTCAAGTTATTTGAAAGCTTCCTTAGCTAGTGCTGACCCAGCAAACTTCGTACCGCCTCATAAATTCCTTTTTTAGCCGACTGAAATTTATCACCTTTTAAACCTTCCCTGGATTTCCACGAAAATATTCAAATTTATTTATATAGATAGATGATTTACAAAGAGGTTACTTTAGTTTACATTACGTTTTTAACATTCGTCTTCAAAGTAACTAAACCTAACTCTAAAAACTTTCTATTATTTAAGTATTTAAATGAATTGAAATATCAGAATATTTACACAACGTAACCATTTTAATTAAGTTCATAGAGTACATAGTTAAGATACATTATCTCATATCCGATCTATTAGCAAATTGCTTTTACATGGAAGTAATTTCAAACAAAACGTTGAGTGATTACATGGGTGCTTATGTATGCGTAGGTAGTTTTCTAAGAAGAATAGAGCAATTTGCCAGTTAGATTTTACTTAATAGCTAAGATAATTTTATCTTAATACATCTTTACCACAACACATGGTTTAGTCGAAATTGAATGTTAAGAAAGACTGCCTCGTTGGCCGAGTGGTCGCAAGTGCGACTGTCGGGCAAAGTATTACTGGGTTTAAAAAAAAACTCAGTAGTTGCACGGAGTCTGGAATTGTACCCGATATATAGCAATAGGCTCACCCCCTATTACATGGGACTCATAACATAAATAGTGAAAAGTGGGTGTTACATTGTACCTACAGTGGCATAATGTGCACCTCTGCCTACCCCTTCGGGGATAAAAGGCGTGATGTTATGTTATGAATGTCAAGTGATTTGTTTTAACTGTATCCGCTTTAGAAGAGAAAAATCTATAGGTGGGTTGGAGATCGCGAAGGGCTCATCAGCTAGGTACTGTCTTTACTCGGAGCCCGTGCTCAGGGCCCCCATCCTAGGGGCTCCGGAAGACCCACAGTTTTCTTTCTTTCTACACGTTGGGTGGAAACCAGCTGCTGTCTGATTCCTGCACGAAGCAAATCTTTGTGTGTTCCACAAATTGTTGTTGTCTGGGTGTCACGTGTATATGAACTTGTATGTTTATAAATGCACTCACGATAACTATAGGAGAAAATTCTAGAGTGGGGCAACGTTAAAAAGGTAACATTCCAGAAGGGCTCTGAATATTATTTGTCTAAGGGTCCCAGCATAGTCTAAGAGGTACCAGCATAGCTAGGATTTACATATCTATTAAGTAGGGACCTACTTTGATTCTATTCATGACCCACAAAAGGTTTTTCTAAGAAAATAAAGATTTAATCTACACATTTCGTAAGTAAAGTAAATGCTAATGATGGGATTTAAGACTTAGTTGAGATTGTTCACATCGTAAATGGTCAGTTGACATGGCAGACACGGTCATATTTCGCAATCGAGTGATTAGGTACTCGGTTCAGAAAATAGTGTAGTAGAAACAAAGTCGTTAGGCTAGACTCTAGCAAATGTCGCGGAGAACCTAACGGGTTACCGGGGCTCCGGCTCGACGTGCAAGAGAAGGAACGGGGTGGTTTTTAGTCAGTAAGAGTCTGACACTCCCTCCCGCCTCACCCAGGCGGGAGCAGTCATTCGATGATTTTCCATCCCTTAAAAAAAAGTCGCGCAAATCTAAAATTAGGAGGGTAGGTCTTTCCGAAAAGGCAGATTTTTTGTCGAAGCACAAAGTTTGTATCTATCTTGGGGCTCATAACTATATTTAATTATCTTTTTTGGTTACTCACGTAATTATTAATTTGACGAAGAACTTGGCTAGTTTCAAGCCATGCTAGAGGCTTTTTTTTAAGGGGGGAAAATCATCGAATAGCTACTCCCGCCTGGGTGAGGCGGGAGGGAGTGTCAGACTCTTACTGATTAAATACCACCCCGTTCCTTCTCCTGCACGTCGAGCCGAAGCCCCGGTAACCCGTTAGGTTCTCCGCGACAAGCTAGAGGCTTATATTCATATTCGTCAAATAATTACGTGAGTAAGATGTGAGTTAGTCGAAAAAACATAATGATTAACTTAGTACGGCTCATAACTGATTAAAACTGGTTATCCAAGATATACTATAACCTACAAAAAACACTATAGTCAGAATTTTAATTAGATTCCAGATTTGACAATAGCTACTGTCATTTTGTGAAATAATGATACCACATATAATAGTGTAGTGATGCACACAAAAATCGATAAACAATCAGTGTGTGTGTTTTATAATAAATGTTACAGAAAGTGTCCGGATAGCGATAACGATGACGGCGACAATTTATAAAATTACTTATTACCATAATACATCTATCTGTTTTATTTGACATGTTCCTTTATGATTACATTTTTTTATTTATTTCACACACAATTATAAAAGAAAATTCTCAGATCGTTAATTAATCGTCAAAACTAAATTATCGGTTCAGAAATATTTAATTTCCTGATATACTTAGTTTACGAGGGTAAAATTATAAACGCGAAGAATCGATCCAGAAATATTGCATTTCCATATCGAATAATTTCGCAACGTCACTATTTAGTACTTGTCATAACGTTGCAACACTGAAATTGTCAAATCTGGAATCGAATTAAAATTCCGAGTATAGTGCTAAGGATTCCACAGTTTAAACTTTAAATCAGTGTCTATTATAGACATCCGTGTTTATTGTTGCTCAGTGACTAGTGGTCATTTTACAAAGATCTATTTAACATTCTCATAACATAATATTACGCCTTTTATCCCTAAAGGGGTAGGCAGAGATGCACATTACGGCACTAAATGCCTCTTAATAATACCCACTTTTTACTATTTACGTTATAAGTCCCATGTAATAGAGGGTGAGCCTATTGCCATATTACAGGGCACAATTCCAAAATCCGTGCTACTGAGATTTTTTTAAACTAAGCCTACTTGGGAATCGAACCCGAGATTCCTTGCCGCATTTGCGACCACTCGGCCAAGGAAGGCCAGGTAATTAATATTTTTCTCCTTGTTTATCTATACTTCATTTCAAATAAACATTAATAAACACTAACTTTACAAAGATGGAATACTTAGGTTCTACTTAAAAGGAATTCTGAATAATAATGATCAGTTGAAAAGATGAGGATTTGCACCGATTATGAACCCCTTTGAGACATTGTTAAGATTGTAAACTATACTTAGGTATCTCTAAGTATTATAAGTACCTACATTCTTACGTTTGTTTAGACACTAGACCGTATGGCAGATAAAAGTTAAACACTAAAGCCTGCCGTTGTTGTTCTATGCAATTCAAAGTATAATTTTCTTTAAACACTATATAGGTTCTTATCAAGAAAGCCGGTTTTGAAATAATAATGTTATTTCACAACTTTTCAATTGATTATACTGAAGCTCGCAAATTGATTCGCACATGCATGATATCTACATTGAATTTGATTGTGTATGGGATGCAGCATCGTGACTCTAAACTTCCATTTAAGTCTTTGAAATTACGAGAATATCTCCATTCTCCATACAACCACAACCTTCTTTGAAACGACATGCCATAGAGCAAAGTTGCTCCAGTTTCTCGACTCGTTGTTGTTCGAATTTCAAACAGGGAAGTGTTCCATATTCAAAATAGTTCTTTGCCACAGTCTCACCACTAGATGGCGCATCTATCGTGCTTTCCGTCACGATCGCTATACAACAATGGAACAAGGAAGATTCAAATTATACCAACATAAATTTACGGTTGAACAATCGAAAGTGCAATTAAAAGCGACTCAATGACAGGGGCGTAAAGTTTATTTTAGTTGAAGTTGTAGTTTTGGGGCCGCAGTGTTAAGTTGGTGAGATAACGTGCGAAGATGCTATTTAATTCAGTGTTACAGTTTGTGTCGCAGTTTCTTCATTAGTTTTGTTGTATAAGATATTTTGCAAAGAGGAAAGGCTACTTAAGATGTCAGTTAAGATAAAACACGTGCGTATTGTTTTTTGGCTGTTTGTTGGTTCTCAAAGTCTCCTTGCGAAGTGAAAATGAGGTAAATAAATAAGTCGTATGGTACGAACAGCCGCTTAATAAGTAAGTATTCATCATCCTGTCATCATCTTCTAACAGATAAGATTTGAAAGACAAGGAATGACGACTGGTAAAGAGAATAGTGCCGATCTTAACCAGCTTTTTCTGTATTTTGAGGGGCTAAAATCGTATAATGAAGTTTCCCCCCTTGGGTTAGGCGAGAGTGTCAGACTCTTACGCCCGTATACTGGAAGGCTACTCAATTTGAAGTTGTAGGTATATTTAAATAGGTATATTTAAATATCGTACCATCCCTGTCATTTTACAAATAAGTTGTAGGTATATTTAAATATCGTACCATCCCTGTCATTTTACAAATAAGTTGTAGTGACAGAACTATAGTTTGAGTATTTGGACATTACTGAATAAAAAATATCCCGTTCCTAAACTTACTCCGAGGCCCAGTAACCCATTAGGTTGTCCGTAGCTACAGATATCTTAACTACCTTGGAATAAGACTACTAAAAGTCAAGCCTATTAGCAAATACTATGCTCAATTTTATTCTAGACTGCTTGTATATATGAATGTATCCGCACAGTTCCAACTCATGATCTAATGACCTAAAACACAATCAAAATTGAAATCAAATTCAAAGACCTCAAGGAAAGAAATCGTTTAACACTTCAGTCCGATGTCACAAGAAGCATTAGATGATGTCCACTCTAATGATATAGTAAACATCTCACAACGGGTCAACTTGACAAGCAAATTGTTGGGAACCAAGTGATACTCACTTAGGAATCGCTTATTAATGGTTTATGTGTTACTAGCTTTTACCCGCGGCTTCGTTCGCGTCACAAAAGGATAAAAAGTAGCCTATGTGACATATACCAATACACACAGCGCCATATATACCAATAATTTCGTTTTCCCTCAAGAATATATTTTTTCCGGGATAATATGTACCCTATTATTTAATCCAGACTTCTAATTTTACGTCTGCAAAAATTCAAAGCAATCGGTTTAGTAGTTACGGCGTGAAAGCGGAACAAACAAACAAACTCACTTTCCAATTTATAATATTATATATAGTAAGGATAATGATCTGGAAATTATGAGGGTGAAGTGGTCTTGCATAGGTAGATAAATATTAGCAACAGTGCCCCCAGCCAAACGCCACTTTAGCGCTTGTCTACGAAGAGAGTAGAAAACTAAATGTATGGGGATAACACTGACAAGTGTCAAAATTTACGTCAATCCCATATAATTTAGTTTTCTATTCTACAAGTAGACAAGCGCTACATGGTATTTGGCTACAGCTGCAGATTATCTCAGCTTGGTTGGGTTACCTAAACAAAGAATTGGGTACTTGCCAACTGGTCAAATTCAATACTTATTTCGAACTGTCAATCAAAATCGACAGTTTTCTATGAATTTTGTACGAGATTGTGTATTGTGACGTGATTTTTAGCATCAAACAGCGTACTTATTTCTTAAAAATCTATAGGTACTCGTAGAACGTTACAGAAATCTATACATACCTATAGTAAAATCGTAGTAAAGTAAAAACTGTACATCGAATATTTTTTTATAGAATGCTTGGGGCGTGATCTACAACCGAAGCCATAAAAATATGGTGTTTAGAATTTTTGTCTGTTTGACTATGTAATTAGTTTCAAATTATGCATGAATATTACTAACAGGTCGGGTCAACATATAGGCTACATATTATCACGCTATCACCTGCCAGGGAGGAGCTGTGTATCACCATTCCACGAGGACAAAGTCGCGGGCACAGCTCACCAATTAAATAAAAAAATACAAAAAATACTAACTGCCTGTTAATACGGCTTTCGAATAGAGTCACCTGACAACGAGTCTGACACATGTTAAAGTCAACGATTATAATGTGAAATAAATAATTTGTAAAGAATTGCCTTTTTGAGCCCAATTAAGACATTTGGATTTTACGTAAATTAAGAATGACAATGCTTCAAAATATTCCCAATAAAACAGTTTAAAAAATTAGTTGTTTAAATAATAATTAACCTTATAATTGCAGCTCCAATAAGCATCTCTAATTATATGCAATTGAAATCATAAATCATAAATCCAAGACCACAGATTATGTAAGACTTTGAAGGTAGAGAGAAATTGCATGGAGGTTTTATGTTGTCATTTTCTATAATTCCTTGATTATCCTAAGGTGAAGAGGTTGCGTGTGTACGTGTTTGTTTACAAGTGAATTTTGTGTGGAAACCTTAATTCAGGCGTATCTAAGTATCCTATATACTCCAGACCCACAAACTACAATAAAGAAGCGTAAAAATCTCAATCTTTTTATGAAATAGGTAAGTAGGTACCTATCAGTTTGATGTGTCGGAGACTGTGGATTTTTACTTAGCTTAGGATCGATTTTCCAATCATCAGTTACTTTTTAACTTTAGAAATGAATTGACATCTGACCGTTTTTAGTAGGTATGGAAGATTTGTCAAATATTCAAAGTTATTTCTCAGTTAAAATTTATCTGGCATTGGAAAAATAACCCCTTAGTTTTTTCTAAAAAGACGCATAATTATCATCAAATGTCTAATAAAAAATCATATTTAACGATGACATTTTAGTTTCTACCATACAAAGCTTTCAAACGTATATTTTTACTTTACGGTGAAAAAGAAAAAGAAATGTAATGTCATACAAACGCATCGCAAAAAACAAAACGCATTCTTTTTATTCTGGGGTAAAAAAGGAATAATAAAGAAATCATACTCACTGCAAAAAATTGACAAACGCAGCATAGTGTTGGTGCTGCACCTCTAGGCTAAACTAAATCTGAAAAGAAAAAATAGTCGTTAGATATTAAAATTTCAATAAAATTTGTCTTTCGAACCAAAGTAACATTTTTTGAATCGACGCACCAATAAGAAAATTAGCAACAGCTCTTAACCAATAAACGTTTATTTCCGAGCTGAGTCTTAAAAAAAGAAAATATTTTAATTTCTGTTCAAATCCTCAGCTACCTATAAGACTGATTGATAATGCATAAGACACCTTGACCATCTACAAACACATAATAAGTAAATAACAACGAAACTAACAAATAAAATAACAACTTGTAGGTAGCCAATGTAAGAACAACCAGGTATTTATCCATAGATATAATACAGAAGTGTCTGTAATATTTCTGTATATTTATCTAATTAAATATAATAAAAACTGCACGAATGTTGGAAATTACAGTAATACATACATAAGTAAATGACTATGGATAGGATGTAGCTGTCTTATTAGTAGATAAAAACTATATTGTGATGTATTATTACAATGACCTACTTATATTAGTTTCATTCACATCAACACATCAACAGCCTATAAGTGGCCACTGGTGACCATAGGCCTCTTCTCACACTGAGGTTTGAGCAGTAATCGCCACTTTTTTTATGGGATATCACCAGATGGTAAGCGATCAGCGCCGCCCATGGACACTCGTAACACCGGTGGAGGAGTCACTGGTGCGTTGCCGGTATATTAAAAAGAAATACGCTCTTTTCTTGGATGTTTAAATGTCGTATGGGTTCTTAAATATCGCCGACGACAGATTCGACGACGCTTGATTAATGCGGGTTGGCGATTTCAAACTTATAATTAGGAATTATAAAGTCCAGGTTTCCTCACGATGTTTCCTTCACCGTTTCTCAGTGGTGTCTTCAATCTTAGAATAACTTATATTAGTTGATTTAATTGTCTTATTTGTGATGAGCCTTTGGCCTTTAGTACGATTCAAGGTTGTATTTTATAGAAAAAGATTTTAAAGTGACTTTTATTTCGTCCATTTTCACAGTCAGAAGCTTTAGTACGTCTAAGTATTTGTCGCATTTACTACTGTCTACTACTACTGGTCGTATTAGCTATTGCTAGATAATAGTTTTCTTAAATCGTTTCAATAGAATTAGGCCTATACTTAGCACCTAGGTCACCTAAGTATGGCCCGGGGTCCAGTTCTGTAATGGCGTGTTCTGAAACTGCCAGAGTGATGGAACGTGACCCACGCATCACTGCGGGCCATCCACGCAATATATTCCCTTGCCATTACCACCAATTTCACATTTTCACATAGGTACCTACAAATGGTGCAAAACCTTACTGATTGTTCTGTAAAGTTCTATCGAATTTAGTATTGTTGGAGGTAAATATTACTATAATAATAGGTTAGATGAATAATTCTTATTTTATTGTCCGTGTGGTAGATTATTTAAAAACATTAGACAAGTATTTTTAAGGGGCTAAATCATCCAATGACGTCTCCCATCTTGGGTTAAGCTGAAGGGAGTGTAACTGACTCCTACTGACTAGAAACCACCCCGTTCCTACTCCTGCTCTTCCAGCTGAAGCCCCGGCAACCCGTTAAGCCTTCCACGGCTCCGTATATCATTACCTGACTGACGGACTAATTCGATTTTTAATTTTCATACTGCCATCATCCCTATTATCAAAGAATACATTTCGTAAGTACGAACTACAAAATGAGCGAGTGATTCTTCTGGTGTAGCGGATATTTTATAATGTTTACAGAAGAGGTCATAATAAGTGTTCCTGATCTTTTTTCACTACGATGATACTTTTATTTTGTGTACGTTCAAAAGTGTCCTATATTGGTCTTATTGTAATAAATGATTTGTCTTTTTGAGTAATAGCTATCGATAAGGTAGGTGATCCGTATTATCACCTCAATAGGACTCTTATTTCGTTTCCATACTTTTTGAATTTATTGACACTAATTGGTAAAAAACGCCATTCTCTCAATATATCTAGTTTCCTTTCAATAGACTTGTCAATACATAACTTTAATTAGCCGTTCACTATGGAGCAATCGATATAAATACATTTTTGTAATAATTTGTTACTTAGATAAAAATAGACGCACTTCCTAGTTAAGCGATTAACTTTCACGCATCTTTTGAATGGTTATTTTAACAGTAAAGATTAAAAAGTAGGTCCAATCTAAAGATTAGCGTGTCTATAGTATCTAATCAATTAGTCTCTGGTAATTAGTGTCTGTCTAATTTTAACACTTCGAAAACCTACATCGTACTGCATTGTACGTCCCTACGTCCGTACGTAGTCCAATATGATGTCTTCATTAACAATATTTTTTTTCGACTTTTCTCGTTTCGATTTTCGGTTCTAGATTAGTCTCTTTACCTGTGAGGGCTTTGCAGCGAGTTTATTTAGCGGATCCGGTGCCTCAACAACTCACCATAGGTGTTGATATTGCGACTGTAAATATTTTATATGCTATAAGAGTCCCATCCTCTAGTCTCTCCCTTAATTAAAGAATCGTTTTGAAGATACCCCTGAAACCCTTGTCCTCCCTGAAGGTAATTAGACTGGACTTCAGTTGCATTTTTAATATTTCTAAACCTTTTTGAGCAAAAATCAGAAAAATAATCACACTGCTGTATCAACTTTTAAAGATGCAAACACTAAAACGGAAGTGGGGTAAGTAGATTAGTTTGGAATTGGTGGTAACGGAAACAATGTGTGCGAAACTAACACTCGTAATTACTGAACGTTAATTCATAAGATTTTAGCGAAGAGTGAGCTTTGTGGGGGGAAAGGTTCTGTCTATTGTAGACGCTCTAGTCTATCTACTAGATATTTTACATATTTGTTTATTTGTCATAAATGCTAAAAGCCTATATCAGCGTAATGACTGTGATGATGTTACATAGACGCTAAATCAAACATTTATTTGTACATAAGTATTTTGAAGAAGGCAGTTATGGGGACCTATTATTAGGTGGGCAAATATGTATTATATTGATTAAATACTTCTTAATTATTATTTGACATTCTAGTTCAAGACGTCCATTTAATTTTCTAACATGTTTTCTTAAAAAATTTTATAAGATTGAAGGAGAATGGATTATAACGAATGCTATACCTACGTAAAATTACATAAAAAAACCCCCGAAATACCACCTAAACTTGTTAACAACACAACACCACATCATCATAATAGACATAAGCCATCAACAACACCAAAACGAAACCCACAAATTACATATTTGAAAACAATACACCGATCTCTGAAACCTGCCACCGACACTAGCATTCAAGTTAGCAGTGCAATGCATCGATTGTTCATGTACATATTATCATAGACAAAAACAGCTCATTGTCAACCACAGACTAGACAAAACCAGTGTGAAAATAATGTAAGCAACATTGTCTAAGGTATGAAACGAAATATTTTTTAGAAAACGAAATAATTATTATTGTGTTTGTAATGCTTTGTTTAGGAATTTATCGCGGATTTGTGTATGGTTGCCGTGATTTATGGTCGTTTTGTTGGCTGGGTGATGTTTGAGTCGCTACTACCTACTGTTGTATTATAAATTGGTATTGTATGTCTATTTGCACTTTGAAGATATGTTCTTTAGTGTTTTAGACTTTGAAAGCGATGCTCAACACCCTATAATGATGAGTATTCTCAATGAAAAGCTTTCAAAGACATGGTGTGTATTCAAATACGTCAGGAGGTAGGTATGTATCAAAAAAATCGTCTATCTTGCCTTTGCAAATATGTCCTTATAATTAAAGATGTAGGGAGAATTGCACTTAACCCCTCGAGCGTCCTTATGAGCACCCGGTGGATCATAAGAAAAAATGCTCCATGCTGCTTTCTCTTTTATAAAATTTATTATTAAAGTTTTGTTTTTATTTTGACTGTATTTGTTTTATTTCTATTGTAATGATCCTTGTTTTCGTGTGCCAATGGCCAAATAAATGCATTTTCTTGCATACATAAGGATAAGGAAATGCATAAGGAACGCAGACGCTCGACGGGTTAAATGCAATTTCCGTGTTTAACTGGATATAGATCGAAATTTTATGCCACGAATTGAAAATTGGATCAACAAAATTGTTTTGAACTTTACCCAACCCAATTTAAATGAGTATTTTATTATAAGTTGTTCGTGTACGCAATAATCGGGGTGACATTTTCTATTAAGAGAAAACACCCTGTAAATAAATAAGAATAAAAAATAAATAAGCATGTTAACTAGTTAAGTTCTTAAAAATTCTAATTCACAAAGTGAAGTCAGTTCAGACTTCAAAATTATTATTGTAAACTAATGTTCCTGAATGTAAAACTGTAAAAGAAACAATAAACTGAAAAGGAAAAGTTAATTTAGTTTTAAGTAGCGCCTCTTTTACATACAAAACTGTGTCCTCAAACTGAACTAAAGTCACATCCTTAACTTTAAATACGTCCATTAGTCAAAAATACCCAAAATCTAGATTTTCAGCACATGCTTGAAATGTCAATAACTTTTTTTTTATGGGATAAACCGGTAAACGAGCAGACGGATCACCCGATGGTAAGCAATCGGCGTTGCCCGGAACACCAGAGGCGTTACAATACAAGAGCGTTACTGGCCTTTTGGGGATTGGATATTTGAGGATTGTTGGGGATTCAGCGATTGGTGATGGGTAATTTGGGCCTTCGATGACCTCACTCATACGACGAAATACAACGCAAACGTTGTTTAACGTCGGTTTTCTATGAGGCCGTGGTATCACTCCGGGCAAGCCGGCCCATTCGTGCCGAAGCATGACTCTCCCACTCTTATGTATCCACTTATGTATCTGTAACGCTTTTGTATCGGGTATTTATATTTCCTTGTGAGTTTATTTTGTTTTTATTTAAGGGGTTTGTTTTCACTTGAATCCTTATTGTGTAAGCTGAATTATGTATATTTTGTGATATGTTACCGTTTGTTCTTTTATTTAATAATTAAATAAATAAATTATGAAAATGTACTTATATCAAGAAATGGATGGTGGATTAGATGTTATTTCAGTTATTAGAGGTATTTAGATGGAGTACTTTTGAGCTAAAAAGGTTTAGTGCGTATTTTCAGAAAAGTAATTTTTTGTTAGTAGAAAAAATATTAGCTTATAGCTAGCTATTTTTAAATATTTTTTTATCAGCCCGGCCTTACATTGAATACTTTTTAATGTTTTTTTCACAAATGTGGAATAAAATCATGTTAATTTACATCTTAAATATTATTTAAATACGTTTTATTTAAAATAACGAATGATTCGATTCACCTTAACCCATATACCGACAAAACTATAACACTGAAAACCTCAAAATAAAAATCCAAAAACTAAACTAAATATTTAAAACACTAGAAAATCCGAACTAGAAACAGAATTTACATTAAAAAAAAAACAACTCACCGAGTGCGTACAGAGCGCTAGCGTGCGCGCGGACTGTGGTGAGGTGGGCACGCGCAGGCTTTTATCACCGTTGCCATAGCAACCACCACCGCTTACCAAGGGATGAGTACGATTTGCAAACGTAAAGTTTTCGCAAACTAGGTCACTTAGCTTCTACGATAGTTGCGGTTTACCCACAGCTGCTACTGGTCAAACTATTAATTATTTGTTTGTGGGTTAACCTGGCGAGTAAATAAACGTTAGATAATTTTAAATTATATTTACTAGGTCGCTGTGTCTGGACAAAAGCAATTACCGAATGGTACACGAAAATAGAAACATCTTTTTGCGTGTCAACGAAGTCTGTGCCTAGACTGAGAAATGCTGTGGTTCTAGGTATCTTTCAAGCTTAAAGCTTTGATGCATTAACTCTTTTAGTCTTGGTGGTCATTGTAGCTAACCACCTTTTCTTAGATTTTTTTTTAAGTGTGCTTCAAATTTGTTTTTATTAGTTTTTAAGCATTTCAAAACAAACAAATATATTTATTTCCATTTTGTTCACATATACTTAATCTAAGCTTTTTATTTACGAGTGTGGAACGTAATATAGACCTATTCTAGGTAGGTTACAATATAATGCCTGTATAGAATTAAATCTGTACCACACAATATAACTTTATAGACGTCGCCGGTTTTAACAATTATTGCGGGTTGTCGGTATTTTCAGTATAATTAAATAAAATATATTCGAAACCAGTTAAAAGTGTGATTGAAAGAGTTAAAACACTTTATAAATTAACATTTTTGTGTCATGGTTTGGG